AGTTAATGAAATTATTACGAAGAAAACATAGTGATCATTGGAATGACAAAACACGAAGGAAAATCGTTCGATCGAGGATTTTTTTTGTTTGAAATATCGTCGTTACGCGTCATTATTGGTTTGATTCGTCGATCCGTCTCCCCCATAAGTTTGCAACCGAGGAACTTGGACGATGTATGATACGATTTTCTAATGTAATTTGTGCATATGGACAAGCATGTAATAAAGAAGGCTAAGCGATAAGTATACATTCGAAATTGATTGAAATTGATTAATTGATTGATTGATTGATTGATTGTATTTATATATAGTCAACCTATATATTATTTTATTATTATTATTATTATTATTTTCTTCTAATTTTTATACAAAGTATACGAATATTTTATACAAAATATTCAAATAATGCAATTGACAAAGTTTTTATTTTTCTCTTTACACATTTAGTTAAATATTGATGATATTTAATAAAGTATATATATAGAAAATATTTTGTTTGATAGATGGAAAGATAAAATTAAAAAAATGAGAAAAATGCAAGAGACTAATTTTTGAAGAGAGAGAGAGAGAGAGAGAGAGAGAGGTAAAAGGAAAGGGAAAAGAAGAGAAATAACAGGAAATAAAGTTGTTCGATTTGTGCATAAACTATTTCGCAGAACCGTCACTCGGTTGACGGACGATTCTTCAACTTTTGTCGCGGTTCGAGCAACGATCGTGGGAATACTCACCTGCGACCTCCTCTCTGGCAAATCGATATTATACGAGAACACGCGAGTACTATGTATGTATACATATATATAGATATTTCTTTTATTTCGATAGATGAAAAATGTTACTTTGAAAAGATTTCTTCTTTCATTTATAAAATCGTTGATTATTATTATTATTATTATTATTATTATTATTATTATTGCACACAAAATGATCTAATTCAATTGAATAAAATAATATATCGTGCCGGGAGTATATTTCTATTATTATCTTTATATAATATTTCGGATATTTTTTTAATAATAAATTCGTAAGCATACAAAAAGTTTTGCCCTCGTAGTATAATAACGAGTTTCAATGTCAAGCTAATAGGATTTCATTGAGATGCTGGATTTAACTACGACGTTTTAGATCCTTATCAAAAAGATACAGATAGATCCCCTGTGTGTATGTTTGATTTAAATGCTTCAATGGAAAGTTCTCTCATTGTCAGTTCCATTTATTTTTTGATCACTGCGAGGAACAACCCTCGGTTGCACTTACGTATTATAAAAAGTATCTTCGAACTGAATTTTCTATATGATTTTCAATATTTTCTATGCTATTCCAAAATTATTTTTCATATGAATATACTTTAGGAATAATGTCATATATTTTATACAAGATATAATTCTATATAATATCTGTATTATAAAATATAGATAATATTAAATAATATAATTATAACATTTATAATATTATCACCCGAATCGCAACAAGTTAGACGAATCTATATAAACAATTTCGTTATATAATAAAAAAAAAATGATCTTCTCGTTTGTGTTTCTTCCTTAAATATAATTCCATTGATGGTTAATTTCTAGACGAGGATAAAAAAAAAATATCTAAAGTAGGAGGGGTTGCTAATAAAACTGTTATTAAAACACAATAGCATATGGTGATGAAACGTTGAGAATGGTAGGGGGTAGGATTTGGTATTTAGTTGGTACGGTGGCTAGCTAATCGAAATACAATGAAGATCTTTTGGATGCTTAGGAGGGAGGGGGTGAGGGTGTATGGGGGAAAAGTGAGGCAAAAGCGCGAAAGCGATCTCTCAAAGTGCTTCTCGTTCGCGAAGGGTAGATTTTGGCGGACTTTAGAAACCGCTTCAGGGGTGCAGCTGTCCAGGTATTTGCCTAGCCCTATTTCTATGAACAGAGGGGGGACACAATCGCGAAAAAGGGCTTAGAGTGTAGCGGATAGATGCTCTCTTTTACTCGACTCGATAACGCTTCGCACCCTTAGGAATTAAACGACGAGGTTCACTTTCGTTTCGTTTCGTTTCGTTTCTTTTCTTTTCTTTTCTTTTCTTCCATCTTGCATCTACCTTTTAAATTAATATGAATATTTATTTGCGTGTGTTTTTATATTTATACAATTGTTATTTTCTTTTCTACAAATTGTGATTAATAATTATGAAAGTGGTTTAATTGTAAATTGTAAACATTGGAATACTAAAAATGAATTCTATATAATATTGAAATAAAAAACACGCGTGAATATCTCTAACATTGAATTCATTTAATTGAAAATAATATGGCGTGAAATAATTGATAATTTTTATTCTTATTTAAATTTTGACTTAGACCATATTATTAATTTTTATAACACACTTATAGAGGATGCGAATGGTATAGTTAGATATGAGCTTTATTAGGACGTTGTGAATCAAGAATTGAATATCTATACTTTGTGTGTCACACTCCAGCTGCGAGGATCAACACAAGTGCGAGAGGCCCTTTACGACAAGAGGGTTCGACCTTTAATGCGCTCTCGATGATGCACCCTATACTCGTATATGGGACGACAACGCGGTCTCTCTATGGTTTGCTAATTTTCACGGGGTTCTTAACACCGTGACGTTAGAGCCGATTAGATCCGACCTAGTGTTGCATTGAATTTTCGCACTTTCACCCTCTGCAGACATTCTTCACTTTTTTCTTCTTTCTTTTTTCTTGGTTTTTTTTTTAAACTCCTAAATATTTTTAACTTTATAAATGTGTGAGAATGATTTTTTCTTTTTTCACTTATCGATCACAAATTACACGCGAGATATCTCGCGATTATTATTTCTGCTCGAGTATAAATCCATTGTGTATATATATATATGTGTGTGTATTAATGTATTTTTGATAAGGAGAAGCATTTAAAACGATAAACGCAGGTGTATCGACACACCTGCGTAAACTACAGGATAAGGAATCTATCCTTTCGCGTTTTACCATTAAAATCGTAGGAAAATGTGATAAATATATATGATCGTTGTCTATTAATACTAGATTTACAGACTGATCCAATTTGATTCATTACAAATTTTAGATCATTATATATAGAAAACTTAAATATTATTTTTTAAAAACATATGTGTGTTAATATTAATGCCTCCTCTCTACTCCACAACCCTTCATTCAAACAATATTTCTAAGTCATTAAACAATAATGAACAAAACATCCGTAAATCCAGTGTTTTTGCAAGATAATTGTCTTCCATATATATATATATCGATTTTCTAATTTTTTATATTAAAGAATAAGTTTAGTGCAATGGACCCTTTGAGTGCAATGGACGCATATATGCGTTTGGTAAAAGTTGATACGCGTGTGTTTATCAATGTAAATGTAAAATAATGTAATATTTTTGTTCTATCTTGTCAGATGAAAATAATATTATGAGAAAGAAAAATTGTAATTATTAAATATAATTGATTAATATTAGCATATCTGGTAACATTAATAATAAACTATTTTATTCGTAGAAAACACTTCAGTTAAAAATATTCAGCAATCAAAGGGTTAAGGAAAATCTTTTTTTATCAAGCGAAAAGTATAGAAGAAAAAAGAAAGGGGTTGTAATGAATGTAACGGTGATAATAATGTCTACGAAGATGACGTTGATAGATTCATTTTTTTTCCCCTTTTTCTCTTTCTCTTTCTCTCTCTCTTTATTGAGAGAAAACGAAATTGTTCCTAATTGTCCACAAATCGACCTAGACTCCCCTCGATTTCTCGAACCGTTAAATACAGACAGCAGCAGTACCACTACCACCATTAAACACTCCTCTTCTCTCCTACTACCACCATCACCACCACCACCTTTTTTCTAACCCTCCAAGTGTTCATATAACTGTAGCAAAGGGCGTTCCGCTAGGCTATGTACTACCGATTCGATTCGTAAAGGGTCGTCTGGTGTATTTTGGGTTAAGCGCACCGGGTACCCTCCTCCTCCACCCCCACGGTGTAATACGGATTCAATTACACCTCATTGTATTACGGTGTCTATAAACAAGAATGTTTTCACAGCTGATAGCTACTCGGTATATGTTCTAACTTTTCTATCTCTATCTCTATTCTTTCTTCTAATATCAAAGGTTCTGCATTAGGTTGTAAATTGTGTCCCCCATCATTATGAAAGTGTTCTAACAATAAGTTCAAATGAAAAGAAAAGAAAAACAAAGAATGAGTTTATTAGTTTATTTCACACGACATTTTATTTTCAATTAAATTATAATAATTCAATGTAATGGTTTTTTTTGTTCACATATGATGACAAAATATACACGTATGTGTATATAACAGTTGTATGTGTGTAGAATTTTAGCATAGAAGAGAAAGAAAAGTTCTTTTAGTCGTAGTTCGTGTTAGAAAATGAGAAAGATATATAGGAAGGGAAGGAAAAGGGAAGGAAGAAAAGATCGACGTCGTGGGAAGTTACGCAGCCGTCATCGTCGTAGTCGTCGTCGTCGTCGTCGTCGTCGTCGTCGTCGTCGTCGTCGTCGTCGTCGTCGTCGTCGTCGTCGTCNTCGTAGTTCGTGTTAGAAAATGAGAAAGATATATAGGAAGGGAAGGAAAAGGGAAGGAAGAAAAGATCGACGTCGTGGGAAGTTACGCAGCCGTCGTCGTCGTCGTCGTCGTCGTCGTCGTCGTCGTCGTCGTCGTCGTCGTCGTCGTCGTCGTCGTCGTCGTCGTCGTCGTCGTCGTCGTCGTCGCCATTATTCTCTTCCCGGAGACGACGCAGAACGTCGCGACGCCGCAGAACGTCGCGACGCCGCAGTATCGACGCACCGCCCATTTTATTCTTCCTTTACGCCTATCCATCTTGCCTTCCATTTTTTGTTTGTTTGTTTCTTTCCGTTCATTGCAAATAATTAATAAATGAAATATTAATATGTTATTTTTTTTCATAAACAAAAAGGGCTGAGTGGTAAACGAATTAAATGTTTTGTTTTTTTTTTCTTTTTTTTATATGGCGATATATTTTATATAGAATCTTTATTTACACTTTTGCATCTCGATATTCTATGTATATGTATACAGGGTGTCTCACGTAACACTTTTCACAATTTTTCAAGTACTCGCGATAAACCTGACACACAAAAGAAAAATATTGTATTTTAAACGACGACCAATGTACGCTTCTTAAAACGAAACTTTACGAGCTCGATGATTTACAATGACATTTGATTTTTCAGTTCGTCGATTAAATTGCACAGGAAAAAAATTGCTTTAATCAAGTATTTTCTCTTATTTTAATTTATTCTCATTGTGTTCAGTCGACTAGACGAGCAATTGAATTCGCTCAATTATAATATGTTATAGACTACTAGATTAGATTTTTGGTTTAGTTTTTATTTCGCGAAAGACTAGACTTCTTTTCTTTTATATTTCGTACCCCTTCTTAGACACTAAATAACACGCGTTACGAAATTTCGTATTTCCAAATCGGAGAATCCTCCTCGTTAGTTTTGCTTTTTCTTTTTCTATGAGGATAAAAAGTAAAAGAAAAATTCATTCGTAGTTCGTGCCGGTTTTGGATGTTCTCGGATCTTCCGGCGTCCAAACTTTTGCATACATTGTACCGTTCGTTGAAACATCCGATTCTCTCGACCAAGAAAGAGAATGCGATATAAATGGATTACCTCCGCTTCCTGAAAAATCATTTTTAAACACAAAACTTGTAATTAATAATTACAAAATTATCAAATTAGTTGTAGTTTTGATAGTTGATACGTGTTAGTGGGAATCTATCATAATTTCTATAGCATATTCGACAATCGTATTTTCAAAATTATAGACGTCATTTCTATTGGTTTCCTGTATGCGACAGATATCCGGTATTTGTTAGATATATAAGACAGGTGTTTCACGAGTAGATTTTACTTACATCAAAATAAAATTTTGATGTAAAGTAATGAAAATTTTATTCGTGTGCAAGTGTGTTAAATATTTTTTCTCTAGTTCAGTTTCGATTTTCTTTATACGTGAAATAATTAGAATTACAGTTTTATCATTCGTTCAATTATTTTCCACGAAATAGATGTCTCGCGTTTGGTATATTATAGAAATATATCTAAAACTTGATTTATAAATTTGTAATTATAATTAGCCTCACCACGGACTATGATTTTCTTAGTTTCATCTCGTCCAGAACACCTCGAATGACCACCGTTTCCTGACAGCGGATCGTTGCCTTTATCGGCTCGAACGAGTTCATTGAGGAATTTAATATAACCAATGGCAAGTTTTAGAGTATCCACCTTTGACAACCTTTTTTCGTAGGGCAATGTAGGTATGTGAGCCCTTAAACCCTCGAATGCATCATTTATGTTCTGCATCCGTCGCCTTTCACGCATGTTTGCAGCCTGTCGTTGTTGAACAGCTTGTCTTGGACATTTTCCACTTACACCGTTTCGTCTACTGCTACGACTTCGACTTCGACTTCGTCTAAATCATTGATTATTAAATATATTTCAGTTTTTTTGTATATCCATTAAACACGTATACACGAACTTACACAATAATAATATTCATTGATCGGTAATACACGTTTTGAAATGTAATATCGCAACAAAAATGTAAGAAATTTGATCAAGGGTTGTTGCTATTTATTCGATTAGTATTTTTAAATAAAGTATCAGTATCAATATGTAAAATTAATATATAACAACAAAAAATGATCCTTCATTATAAATATTAGAAATAATTATTTTGAAGGAAGAAAATATTCGTGAACGCGTCATACTTGTTAGAAAAATAACAATTAATATACTACTATTAATATACTTACTCTCTCGCATGATTCTCTTGATCGCTGCTATAAACGCTTTCGTTGTCGCTGCTATTTTCGTCGTAAGGATAAACGTCGCTACCACTTGTGCTTCCGGTACTACCGGAAGGATGCGACGGTAATTGCGAAGGAATCGTTGGAAGGTTTGCCGTCGTTTGTGTTCCATAATGTGGAGGTAAAGCTGGAATTCCTGGATTTCCAAGGAAAGTATGTGCCTCGTATAAATATTGACGATTCATTATGTCCAATTCCAAATTGTCCATTGAATACATTTTTATTATTATTTATTATTTCTTTTTTAAACGAAATCCTAATACTTTGTTTAATTTTCTTTTATATATCGTATAATGAAATAATTTAATATTATCTTTCTTCCTTCTTCTTCTTTTTTCATTGCATCGATATACTTTTGTATACATCCCTGATTAAAATCTTGGTGAACATAATAGAAAATGATTATAAAAGATAAACGCAATGTTTTCGTTCGTGTTCGAGTAGGAATCCGAGTACTAGTCGAGGAATTTGAAATCCTCGTTTACACATCCTTCGGGATTACGAGTAAAGGATTTCGTACGATACGATAAGCAAGAGCAAGCCAAGCCGTCACGTGTTCACAATTGGTCGACGCGTGTCAGGAAATATTTCTAAACACCGACACGTGTCCCAGGACACGCGTCGAAGATTTGTCCAACAACAACGAGATTGCTCAAAGATTTTGTTTTTTCTACTCGGGACCACCGATTTTACATTCCGAATTTCGATTCTCGATGTTTATTCTTGATGTTCATTCTTGATGTTCATTCTTGATGTTCATTCTTGATGTTCATTCTTATTTCGTAATAACACATTTCATACAAATTTCAACATTTTCCGATTGATATAAACAGAACATTAATATTCATTATTTTAATCACTGAGAAACTTGAAATATTTTTTTTCTTTTCAAATATTTTCAAATATAAATAATAAAATGTATTATTGCGTTTTAATTGAAATTGATGTGATCACATGGAATCACTTGTCTTGATATAAAATTTCTATGATGACCACTCTCGACTTCCGATCGTAACTGAAATCGTGAAAACCGAGAAGAAGGCGGAAGCCATGCTCCCTAGTTTCCCATCTCTCTCTAACATTGCCGATATTGGGGTTGAAAGCCCAAGCACGACCCCCATTCGTCGTGAGGCGGCACTGAAAGCGGGGGTGCGGGGGTAGTAAACGGAACATGCCTCTACCCCCCGTTGCCGTTGCTGGGGCAGCGGTGCCGCCTCTTCATCGATCTGATAAGGAGCAACGTAATTCGTGTTTCCATGATATATCATAGAGGTGTACTTCTATAGAAGAGTGTTTATAGATATATGTTCTATCTATAAACATAGATACGAAGATGCTGCTAAATTTCTACGAACGTTTTAAGTATATAAACTCTACGTTATATCTATATTAAAAGTGTATTAAACTTCAGAGATCTAGGTTAGTAAGAATTTTCTAAACATTTTTATTGATATTTTCGAATTTGATAACAAACAACTAACACCAATATAGTTAACCGTATATTCATAACGAAAGGAAGAAGATTTAACAAATATTCACGATATATGTCGTAACAAATCTTTAATTAATTTTTCATTTGACAATTTTTACATAGATAATTGAGTAGAGTTTGAAATCAGATTATGTTTAGGTACCTGTATTCAACCGCATAATTATAGGTTCCTCGACTGAGGCCAAATGTCGCCGAAATACTTAACTCTCGGCAACCCTTATGCAATGTTTTCGTTGCACGCGTCACGCACGTGCCTTTTTCACTTTTATTACACTCGGATACTTTAGTCCTGATTTCCGTCCTTGCTCTTTTTCCTGCACGACACCTTGCCTCCTTTATTTCTAATTGTATTCTAATTACGAACAGAACAATATTCGATAATGATACTTTTATTTTTAGTAAAGGATGGGTTTAAATTTTCCAAAGTGATTTCATAAATCAATTGAATCCTTTTTACAAATATATTTTTCCTTTATTCTTTCTGTATAGATTGTAAAATTATATTCCAAATCTTTTGACCTATCTTAGTATGTACATGCATATACACGTGAATTATATTCAATTAAAACTTGCGGATAAATTTTGTTTTAGTACTTTATTTTCTAATGCAAAATTAAACGTTGGATAAAAAAGATCGCTTGATACGAAGATAGATTCGCTTGAACGGAATTTCTTTGAAACGCAAAGCAATAAAATATAAACCAATAGTTGCGTGCGAAGTTCATTAAATTTGGATGATTAAAATGGTTGAAATCCCGATGGCAATGAATCTTCTTTTCCTATATGGGAGAACACGGAGAATGAATTATTATCGTTCCATCTGCGATCCTATTTCGGAAAAAATCGTGAAAGCGTTGATGATTCGTTGGTTCCCACGGATGCTATTTCTCTCACACTACACATTAAAGTGGATCATCACTGTGTGAGGAGGATAAATTATACATTTTTAAATGAATTTTTATATCGATAAGGGGAATATGTTTTATTAAACAATAATCGTTGTGCCTTCAATTGTTCTTGTTAAATTTTATTTATCAACTATACGTTACTCGTGCAATTCATATAGACTGTTAGGAATATATAGATTGACGGTAACATAGATAGATTTCAAGTTTTCGTAGGTACCATCCCGTTTTGTCATAATCCCAAATGAAAATACTCGAACGGGACGTGTCCATTGTGCCGAAAAGTTTTTTTTTGTCATCTTCTGCAGATTGAAAGATAAATCAAAAGAGAGGGGAACCAGATTGAAATCCTCGATATTCTCTACCCTCGCATATCTGTGTTCTTTAATACGAAACGTATTTTTATCTTGATCGTGTTTACTTTTGTTTATTCAGAATTTATGAAAGAAAAAATTAAAAATTGTTAAATATTCGTCAATATAAATGATATATTTAGTAAAATAATCCTTTTGCAAATGATAGATGAAGAAATGGTAGCTTAAAGAAATCCTGTTTTCCTTTTAACGTTTATATTTCACCCCTGGAGAGATCTCTTAACGGTGCATCCTCGCACGAGCACAAGTAACACCTGGCTTGCTGTAACACCCTTGAACATCCTGGTACATATCGGGGACACGCCTCGAGCCCTTAAGTGTCTATTAATTTATACTCAACGGGAGTGTGAAATCGATTTGTGTTCGCTCATCTCTCTTCTCTCTTTTAATAATCTTCATGAAGATTCGAAGAGATACAACTCACGATGATCATTCAAATCTTTATTTTTAATATTAAATTTAACGCCCAGCCCTTCTGCATATATTTTCATATAAATGTATATTCATATGAATGTATAATACATTCGATCGAAATGATAATCAATTTAACAATCAAAGTAATTTTATATAAATGGTTATATTGTGTAAGATTAATTATTTGCTCTTTTGTTTTGTTATATATTATGCCAAAAAAAAAACAAAAAAAAAAAAAAAAATAAAGAAAAAAAAAAACACGTATGGAGAACTTAACCGCTAGAAGGGATACCACAAAACGTTTCTAGGGTTAGGAAAATAGAGAGATAGAAATAAGTAGGAGGGGTGAAGGAGCAAAGCATTGGTGCGTGGAAGGTTTTGGGGGTCGTACCCTGTTTGAAGGGGTCTTCGAGGAGGACACCATAAGGGGTACCATCCCCTACATACCGGAAACAGTCTTACCGGATATGTGAGTACATATTAGACAGGTGCTTGATACTTTGTTATGTGCTTACGTAAGTGCATGAGTTGGAAATCGTGAGTCGTCTGATAAGAATCGTCCTATTGCGACAAAATCAATCGATTTTGACATCTATCTGATTGGCCAATAAGTAATGTCGGTATTTCTAAATATGTTTTGTTTTAAATGAAATACACGAGAAGTGTAGCGTACTTTCATTAGTCTACTTTTTTATCATAAATAATATTAAGATAATCTCGGCACGTAAAAGTAATCAATGATTTATCTTTTATTTTTTCTTCTTATTTCAATGATCATCTCGAGAACTCGCGAATATTGTAATATATTATAGGTACATATACTATATGGATAGATTGACGAAAAGATCATTTTTTATCATCGTTTATCATCTATGGAAGATTCGTATCATCGATGAGATACGTTCGTTAAGAGGTATTCATATTTTTCTTATAACATATGCAGCTATATGCATAAGGTTATAAAAAATAAATCATTATTTTCTTTTCTGTAGGAAACATATGCACACCTGATTAACTTCTTTCAATGTGTGTGTGTGTGTGTGTGAGGAAATATTATTAAAATAATGAAAATTATTATTATTTTATATATAAAGTGTAGAAGTAAATTACAACCGAAAAGTTGGCATGGAACTTTACCAGTAGCAAAAAAATGAATAACTATTCTTAATTGTACATTAATTGCATATTTAAAATCTATAATTGAAAAAAACGAATCTCTAAATAAAGCAATGAAGTTTTCTATTATTTTTTGTTTTCAATCAATCGTAAGTCGTATTACCGACTGTCGATGAGACAAAGGTAGAGCAATACAATTACCGATATGATGCTTAGCAATGTTACTAGAATTTCAATATATTTTAAACTTTCTTATTTCCTAGTAACTTTCAATAGCAAGTAGTGTCAGGTTTTATGCCAACTTTCCTGCGGTAAGTAAATTGAAACGTCATCTGCAAGTGTGTGCCAATGATAAGAAAAATTATTTATTAATATTCGATAATTCAGATCTCTGTTATGCAGTTTTATCTAACATACAATAATGGAATTTCTTCATATTTCATTTTAATAGATATTATTTAATGTAAATAAATATATTAAGTTTTCTATATTTAAAAATCTAAAAAATAGAGAAGAAAAATAAAAAAATAAAAAAAAGAAACAGGGCTCGTCCGGGATTTGAACCCGGGACCTCTCGCACCCTAAGCGAGAATCATACCCCTAGACCAACGAGCCGTGTTGTTGGTCTCATGAAAAATATACCAAAAGTAGGAATAAATGTATACAAAATTTGATAAAAATCATGCAAACACGAGTCTTTCTCGGAACAGTTTATATCTCTGTCCGGTGTTGTCTCGTCGGTTGAAAAAATGTAATCTCGGATTACAGTATTATACGACGCACATGCGACATACACAGTACAAGATGGCGGAAGAAAAGCAGCAAGATTTTAATAGGAGTGCATTGACGATCGACGGTGAACGGGTAATACCCTCGTGAATTAATCTAAATGTACGAAAATAATGGAAGGAAAGTTAGTGAATCGTTTAAAAAAGATAAATACATATCATGGGGACAATTTCGATCGAGTTGATTTTTTGTTTGAGTGCCTTTTTCAACGACTCTTTCTTTAGGCTTGGTACACCGGACAACGGGCAGAAAGAATTCCTGGAGGATTGGTCCGTGTCGTTGGGTGTACTTGTTTGAGTTTGGATATTTCTTACAACGAATTAACATCGATTACGGGATTAAAGGATTTCTTAAGGCTGGAGGAATTGATATTGGATAATAATCAGCTTCGCGATCTAAAAACTCTACCGTCTATGCCATGTCTGACTACTTTAAGCCTGAATAACAATAAGGTTTGTTCGTAATGCATCGTGTGCATCGTTTATTTATTTATTTTTTCCTATTGTTTTATCTTTATATCATAGTTAACTATCTTAACAAGTTAAGATAGACCAAGTTAAATAACGTAGATTATATTGCTGTGATTTCGCATAATAATATTATTATTCCACACGAGGTACGTTTTAAATCAGGAAAGAGCATGATCAAATATGGAATACTCATGCACGCGAGATACGCATTCATAATTTCTTATGTCAGATTATCGCGAGGAAACTCTCGGTCGTTCACTTTATAACTCTGCTATCGTGACATTTCGATAAAATTTATTCGATAAAGAAATTCAGGGGGTCTTTAGTTTACATTAGAAGTTAGATAAATTCATTATTTTTTCAATCATCTCTTTGTTAAAAATATTTCTAAATTTCTTTGACTTAATAAAGACATAGACAAATCGAACAAAAGAAAGATAATTCGACTAGGATAAAGTTCATAATAAATCAATTCGTGATAAATGCAATTTGTAAATTTATTTTTCAGATAACTGATATAGATGACGCATTAGAAAAGATACGAGAATGTTGTCCGATGATAGTTTACGTGAGTCTTTTAGGAAATCCAGGGTGTCCCGATCAGCTGACAAATCCAACTTCAACAGACGAGAACGATTACGAACGTTACAGGCTTTATGCAATATATGTTTTACCATCGACGTTACGGTTTCTCGATTCGCGTGCAGTCACGAGCAAAGAAAAAAACGATGCCGAAAATCGTGGAAGATATTTGAGAACGGTTAAAGTTTTCTCCAATAAATCAAACAATAATGTCATTAATGTACCACTTCCGAATGAATTTGATGATGCTTATTTTAATATAAAATATACACCGTTACCAGTTACCAATCGTACGCCTCAAGAACACCGAGGTATGCAATTATCATCAATATATATATATATATATATTATAATAGAAACAAATTTAATATCGATCTAATGATTACTTTCTTTTTTCTTTTTGTCGTTTCAATCGAACAAATACAGGTGCATTCGGAAAATGCAAGTATCGTTATTCTGGAAAAAATTCGGAAGGTAATAGATTTATTTTCAACAAGGATCTATGAAACTAATAAAAATATACAATACATTTGGAGAGTAATGTTTCGCATGATCTCTAATCGAATGTGATTATATTCAATTTTTGCTACTTTACTTGATGATTGGAGAGAGGAACAAAATGAGAGAAAGAGAGAAAAAAAAGTCGAATGCAAATCAAACAATTTATCGCAAAAAACTTCGATCTCCTTTTAATAGTATTGGTCCTTAAATGTACACAATATGTACTCATTACAACGAGATATTATTATATATACGCAACAAATTCAGTATATCGAACGATTCGTATACCGAAAAGAGACAAAAAGAATTGTCACATGCACATGTGTTATTTAAATTCATTATTATTCTTGTTGCTGTTGCAGCTATCTTGTTTCTTATTTTCACTTATTTTTCTTTCTCAAGAATTATTTATTTATATGTATTATTTTTTTAATTCAATATATTCGACACGCACATACCAACTTACTATTTTCCCATTCTGCGCACCATACGAATCTCTATATGAAATATATACTATGTATATATATATGTGTGTGTGTGTATGTGTGTGTGTGTGTGTGTGTGTGTTTATACATAGATGTATAACATGTATATGGTAAAAGGCAGTTTATAGTTTATAAATCGATAACCCTGTTGTTTAAAAAATTACACTACACGATGAAACTATGCGTTTTACGCGATTATGGTATCTCTTATAATCAATATTATTATTAATATTATTATAGTAATACGTAATAATTGAAGATATCCCTCTACGAATGTTTTTTCTTTTTCTTTTTTTTTTTTTTTTTTTAAGTAAGAATACATCGATTCAGCCTTTCGATTTGTTCCTGTAATCAAATATAAGAAAATAAAGAAAAAATAATATTATTTGTAATAATAATTATATTCTATATAATAATGATCGCTATACTATGCAGCAAAAATGTTTGTCTTTCATTTCGAAGTATAACAATAATGTCCGAATAAAATAAATTCACCGATGCAAGACGACTACTCGAGTCTCTAACACCGTTCTTGAGATTAATAATTTCAATATATATATTTATATATGTATAAATATAACACATCTATATGAATATTATTTATATNTATATATATATATATATATATACCTATAGTTATTCTTTTCATATCGGAAATCGGTCATATTTAATAATCCTTAAATATACCGTTCCGTGAATTCTCTTGTCCAACGACGAGGACAGTAGAAATTGAACAAATAATATTTCTATCCTTCTTATTCGTTTGTATTGTACACTCTGGAAGCATCTTTCTTTTAAAAAGAAAGGTAAGTGTGTTGGCGTATACTGTATTACTTTTTAAACACGATTATGCGTTTCAAACACGGCGAGAGGTTTTCTCATTATTTTCTTTTATTTTTTTTGGCACTCTTGTTGTTATTGGGGGGGGGGGGCAGGGAAACAAAAATCAAAAAGAAAAACAAAAGTAAGCAATATTTTATATAAAATACGAAAGACTTTTTTCTTCAAGATCTTCCCTTCGCAAATTAGAATTATAATGTCGCCCGTTTGAAACCACGGACGGTTGGTCCATTTTATTTCAAATGTCATTTTAATATATCGTATTATATTTGATTAAAGTTCATTAAAAAAACGTCGATACACATTTCCGATATTATATTATACGAACGTTCAGAAAATTTCGAATTTATAATTCGAAATCGTATTAGTTTGACGTATATATAGTATACGATAATATATTAATTGATCATTTTGTTTTGAAATTTGTCAAATTACGTTCGGGAAAGTAATACGAATGTATATAAGCGTTTAGAAAATAGATCGAAGTATTACATACATGTAGGTATATGTATATGTATATAATATTGATCACATGATCGGTCTCGTTTCATATACATTCAAATGTAGTATATACGTAATGTATACTACACTTTCGTGTGCCCTTAAGAAGGGAATAGTTTATTTCATTCATTCGAATATTTCCTTTCCTTTTACTTTCCGTACTTTATTTCACCACCAAGTGTCTTTTACTTTATTTATTTTTTTCGTTAATTATCCCGAAAGGCACTGATTATAATTTATCGTCGAATAAACGAGACCACATCTCGCCTAATAATTTATTTACAACGATTAACTAAAATTTGATATTAATGTTATGTATGTATATTATGGAAGTTCATATCATAATCGAGCTTAGTATTGTGACCCCAAAAGAAATATGATCGAATTCAAATGAATAATTTCGATCATAATTCATAGATAATGGATGAATCTAATTAAGAACCATTAGCTTTGCCATGATTGTGTAGATTTGGCCTTAAAGTCACTGCACCTTCGACCCAGAAATTAGGCCTTTCGAGCATACTTTGCCATAATGATAATTCACGGCCCGTTGCGTCCATCCAATCAACTGGTTTCCCATAATGTTTTCCTAGAATAGAAAATATATAAAATGTAAGATCGAATTAGATTTGATCGTGTTTATTATATATAAGTAAGAATGATTAATATATAAAAATTGAAAGATGAGAGTCACTTACCGGTACCAAGATTGAAACGAACACCGCCTAAGAACTCATTACTGGCGATACGATCGTGATCCCATACCGTTAATTCCAATCCTCGCTCGGCTAACTCTTGCAAACTGACGTCTTTGTAAATGAAAGTATGACCCCAAACTGGAGAACCACCTGATCGACGAACTACACCAGTTTTTTGTTTACCAGATCTACCTTTGTCCGGTAGCAGGTAACTACGAATTCAAATATTTATGTGAGATATTTATATACATGTGTATTTAATAGATTTCCTTAATTTACTGGGTTAACCATCAATTTCGTATTACTTCGAACATAATATAAAAATAATATATAAATTTGATAAATTAACTTTAAACAAAGTTTCGTATGTATCTTTAATAATTTGGTTTAACTATGCAGAGGAAACATTTTTTTTTTTATATTTTACGAGTTACTTCGAAACGATCACGTTCCGTGACTCACCTAGTATAATAAGGTATAATATTAGATATGCTATATTTAATGTTATATGTTACGTCGTATACATGTATATAACGAGATTCAAGATTTTTCTTCGTTTGATTTATTATCGGAATAAAAATGAAAATAAAAATAGTTAGAATATAATGATATACCTTTTGCAAAAGGGATCGCAGGTTCCAGAATTTTTAGCTCTGGTTTGCAAATTTCTAGCCTCCTTAACGAGAACGTGCAATGCACCACGACTCCAATTTTTCCTCGACTTGGAAGCACCCTTGTTATGATCGGAGCCCAACTCACGTTCTTGTTGTTGTGCGGGATCGGGTGGTACGAACTTCAAACCAACGATTACTTCACCTTTGTAAGCGATCGGGTCGTCGAATGGTTCTGTCTGTGGATAATAGTTACCCGTTGAATAACGGTACATTTTTTTTCTTTCATTTATTTTTTGCCCTCGATTACCACACACAGTCATACAAACACACACTGATCATCGAGAACAAAGGGATATATAATTGATTTTTTTTTTCTATCTAATGTTTTTCACGCTTGAGAAGAAGATTATTTGTTTCAATAGATTAAAGATTAATGGAAAATAAGATTCTAAGCAAAAGGGCCCCCAAATGAATATTATTTTAGTGTAGAAGAAGAAGAAGAAGAAGGTAAGCTGTTCATAATAACGGTGCAACTTTAATCGTAGTACAGTGGAAAAAATCGTCGTCATGCTCGAGAGATATCTATGTTCGCATTATAATTGCATAAACAACGTGCAAACGTGGTGTTTCGCTAAAATAGAATGAATGTAATAGTATTTCAAAAAAAAAAAAAAAAAAAAAAAAAAAAAAAAAAAAAAGGGTGAATAATCTATGCACATTTTATAATTATGACAGTGTATTTAACAATATAATTCTAAAATGAAATAACATTAAATATTCCTCTATGTGAGATATTTGTCGTATAGAAAAAATAATGTTCGAGTATCTACTTAACAAATGAAATACAAAGGATATTTTAAACACGTCGAATTATTGCACTTACTGTCTGACGCGATTAGCGTTTTAATCGTTGAACAATTAGACCAGAGAAAAGTGCTTGAGAAAAGAACACGAAAAGAAAAAGAAAAAGAAAAAGAAAAAGAAAAAAAGAAAAGAAAAGGATACGTAACGATAAACGAAAAACTTACTCTTTCCTGAAGGGGATACCATCTTGGGGTAGGATCGTCAAAAATTTTATTCTCCAATGGCATTCGTACTTCTCCAAGAAAATCATTTCGTCCAAACATATCCGAGTGCCATACTGTCAGCCATAATGTCCTTGTCTCCAAACCGCTCAGGCTCATGTGAAACTGAAACGTCGTTGTGGCGAACCATCGAAAATCTAATTCTCATGCAGGACACGATACAACTAACACGAGCAAATATCTATCGATTCGATTACGATCGATCGATCGAACGATAAGTTAAATGATTTTTCTCCTCACCTTTAATGTCTCGTTAAATTCTGGATTCAAGGTATGCTTCTTAACTTTCGTTTTACGTTTACCACTCTTCGATTTATCCGGCAAGAGATAGACCTTTACGTATCTGCGGGTCAGAACAAAATCATGACGAAAATAAAAAGGAAGGTGTGATTTGTGAAATATGGAAACGTAAATTATTGATTAAGTTTGTTTTCATAATACTTACGGATCTGATCGCTTTCGTTTGACGTCAACTGGAGCGAGATTCTTGCATTTGGTAACGTGCACCTCAAACGTGAGATGTTTGTAATCGTATTGCAATGCAAATTCTACTTCACCGGTAACTACTACCGATCTACAGCATCTACCTTCACCGGCACCACTGTAAACCGATGCCATTGAATCCGATCGTGCCTAAAACAAAACAAAAATCATCATTATAGTTAATATAATTAATTTAACATCCTATAACAATGATAAAGGTGATTTATTCGAGTTCCTTGATCATTCGTTTATTCGTTCGTTCGTTCGTTTGTGCTACGCAAATCGGTCGAATTGAACTTTCACTTGCAATCGCATTCGAGTTTTAAAGGCGTGGAAGAGACGCATACGGGATGACGTGTACTCACTCCAAGGCTGGACAAAGAAGCACGAGTCGCGAGATGTCCAGAATGCAATCCAGGATCCATATCGTCCATATCCATGACCGTGTGACTAGAAGCTGCACGCGAACCTGCACCGATGATTGGCGTACTGCACGCCTCCGACAAACTACTTCCATCATCTGTAAAAATAATATCCCATATTATTCTCTGTTATATATTTCTTTTTTTCATTTTATTTATTATTTATTCATAGACAATCGAACGTTCGGAGGATAAATTTATCGGGTCGGTATTTCAAATTAATGATTATGTATTTTTTAATCAAATATTTGTGCAACATACCATTTGACATTGCCCAACTTGATTCATTTATATATATATATATATATATATATGACCATTATTTAATTATATATTTATTATTAATTGATATATTAATACTGACCGAATAAATAAATATATGGACCGTTTAGTTTTGAAAGTGGTGTAAGTCCATTTTCTGTTGTTTCGAGAAAATTCAAGGTTTGCATATTGGTTAATTGAAAAATATTCATTAATTATATCAAGTTCAATAATGTTTCTATTAATTTATCGATATGTAATTTGATTATATACATTAATTTTAGAATAATTTAACTAAAATAATGCAAATGGATTTATACCACTTTCAAAATAAACGGTTCATATATTAAATATAACAATACTATTTTTGATTAAACCAACTAGATTTTATTTCCTCGATCGTAATTGCGATATCCTTTGAACTATTTATTTTGTCTATTTTATTATCGTCCGATAGAAATGTAACATTCTTTTTATCCTTTTTACATAAAATCGGTGAATTAATTAATATGGGCTCGGTATCGGAATTCGATGACAATTTTCTTTCCTTTTCTCGATAAATAATGTTACCATCGAGATTTAAATTCTGAGAATTATAAAAAACTTTGGTATCTTTCGATTGATCGTTAAGGGAAAGAAAGTTACGTCTTCTACGAGTTTTCTCATTAATTTCGAAATCGTTCCACTCTTCTATTTCATCCTCGTTTTTTAGCTTTCCAGGAGACGTCGTCGTCAAACATGAAATTTGTTTTTTCGTTGACGAGGATGATGAAGTTAAAGAATACTTTGGTATACAACAGGAAGAACACCATTTCGATAAACAACTTTTGTCTTCTCCGATATTATCTCGAGAGAAATATTTTTGCGTTTTAAAAGTATAATAACGAGAATCCTTAAACATTTTTCGTGATTCTAAGATTTTAAGTTTGTTTTAACTCGTTTCAAATCTCTTGACCAATATTATTCTCACGAATTTGATATTAATTGTAAATCGTCGTTACTATAATCATTTCAAATTTAACACCAACGATAATATAATTCTAGAAAAGAAAAAATAAAACGAAGTATGCTGGTAGACGAAATAGAAAGAAAGAACACCACTTTAAAAAACCAGCTCGTTATTTGTCCAACACTTCGAATGTTGAATAACAAGAACCCTTGAGCATAATTCGCCTCGAGTTTTCTCAACTTTTTGTTTTTTTTTTCAAAGTACAAAACGTTTAGTAAAACTGTATTCCTTGAAAATAAAGAACAGAAAAAACCATCCTTTATAAATGAAGAAACACAGATTCACGCTTTGAATTGGAAACGCGTTTCTTTTTCTCTAGATCTGTAGAAAAAAGAAAAAAAAAGAATGATCTCTCGTAGTAATTTGAAATCTAAACGACGATAATAATTTCACTAAACAAAACGTGTAATTGGACGAAGAAGGAGCACACACGTACGAGTTATGAATCAAACTGCAACGAGAACAAATTGTGTTCGTGGTACTAACGAGCTCGTTTGTCCAATAGTCACTTCTTATAATCTGCCAGACGGAACGAGAGCAACATTGATAAAACTGATTTTAGTTTCCTGCCATTTCGTTACCATGAATAACAATCTTTTAACTTCCGCGTTCAAGGCCGTGAAAAACTATGATCATCGTTCAAAGTTTACATTTGGAAATTGTCTATTCGAATAAAATATATCATAGAAAAAAAAAAAAAAAAAAAAAGGAAGTTGTACGTCATTGAATAAGTTGAAAAACCGGTCTTCTCGATTATTACGGAAATCGATTGAAATATAACGAGTGGATGGGGAAAACGTAAAGGGTGTTTAAACAAAAATAATAGTTTCATCTATAATGAATTTGAAAGATAAAACGTGGCGAATAACGGAAGATATGAATAAACTTGGTAGAAATCTTTTTCAATGTCTATAATCTTTTGTTAGTATGGAGACGCAGATAAGCAGAGATTGCAATGTCTAAGAACGTTGTTTGCAGAAAATCTGTGTCAAGGTAAACTCTCAACGCGCATCTAGCTAATACTTTCGGTGAGAAAGTTGCCTTTTTCGTAATTTACATAAAGACGACAGGATTCACGATTTATTATTATCTATTAATATTAATTACTTTCAATTTTATGCACATCGTGTGAATGAACAATTGATTAAGTCGTTCCAATTTATTCTAATATATTATAATATATAATAGATTTGAATCTTCAAACAGAGAAAGTGTTTATAGGAAAATTCATTTGTGTCTTTTCATTTTATATATCATTAAACAAAAATTATATCCACGTGTTTTTATTGTTTAACATTATCTGGAATAATTGGATTGGACAATAATTAATGTTAAACAATTTTGCGATAGTTCGATATCGGTATTTTTTCTCGTCTCATAATAAATGGTAAAAACTATGCGAAAAATTTCATCCGTCATATAGTTTTAATCGAATTCTAGTGCTCCCGAGGTTATACGTATCCTATGTGAAACGCGATGCATCTACTTATGCACGCACGAAAATACCCGTAGATGCATATGGCAACAAGTTATATATGGCGAAAGTTTCACAAAGTTTCGCTTAATTGGCGATCGAGCATCATTTTCCGTTACTCGGAATTAACACGAGAGAAATTGTGAAACTGTACTTCTGTTAGTTGTTCGAATATTTTAAAACAACGTTCTCTTTTTGCGAGGACATATTTAAACAAATGTAGGAACAAATAAACGAACGAACGAAAAAGATAGTTCTTCCGTTATATTTTTCTTCAATTAATTAACAGCTTAATGTCTCACGTTAATTAACCTTTCCCTCTTGCGATAGATCGTCGTGTGTGTAGGATTATCGTTGGATAATTAAATAACTCGCTTTCGAAGCTTCTATCTCGCTTGAAAGAAGCGAACAAAAATGGTAACACGTAGAAAGGTTTCACTTTTACTGTTTATTGGAAGGTACACTTAATGAAAGTTGACTTTTTTTTAAATTAAGCATTTCATTAATCTTTCAGTTTAATCAAATCTATTAAATATAAAATCTATTTAATAATAATAAATATTATTTGAATTTACTTGTTGATATATAAATTTAATTGCGAATACCATCAAGATTTGATTGTTAAATCAACAAAAATATATAACAAGAAAAATGTTGTAAGTCAATAAGGATTTGGAAGAGAAGTACAAAGTATAAAACGTGCACGCAAGGTATTATTAACGATACGGTACTACCCTCCCCCCCCCTCCTCCCTTCTCCCCGCGGCCCTACGTATGTACAAATACAAAGAATATACGGTGTGGCTGGTACGAAATGTATATATACCTGTTACGCTTCTGTTAAAACGACTAACGTCTGGTATTGCGCACGAGAAATTGCGCTACGCGCAATGTTTCTTCAAAGTTACGACACGTTTTTAAATTCAATACCGCATCTCGAAGACCGATTCCTAACGGATGTTTCTTACTTCCTTCCTTCCTTCCTTCCTTCCTTCTTACCTTTCAAACTATTATCCTTTTGTTCTTTTTTTTTTTTTTCATATTTCTTTACATAGGTATACCTCACAAGAAGGAAATAATTGATAATTAATTAATGGATAGATAATCTCCAATTTAACTTTCTATTAAGTATGCTACTCTTTTTGAATGTTATACTTATTTTAAACATAATTAAATATAATAAAAAAAATCAAAAATATTGAAACCTCATATGATAAAGATTGAAAAATTGAATAATTTGAATTTGATGATCATTTTCATATTAAAATAATATAATCTCAAACATAATATATTTATAACTAGTTGCATATGTAAAAGATGCTATCCACTTAAATACTTGCAAATCATTTAATGATCATTTTATATCGATTTTGAAACTTTAATATTCAAATTGAAGATACGATAGAGAAAAGTTGTGCATTCAGCGAAAATTCTTGAAGACATTTGCGGATCGAGAAGTTATTCAGGTAACCCGGTTAGACTTGTAAGAATGATGAATACACAACTCGTATACAGAAGATGTTTTTAGGTATGGCAACTCGTATATTAGGGTATTTAAGTTTCTCTTCCTCGTTACGAAACGAACGCGAGAAATAGTCGAATAACGTGTCATGTCGCATGAATCTCAAAACTTTTTTCTTTTACTACCATCGTTCCATCTTTAACGAATTAAAGTGAAATTCTCATTGTGAGTCTCTTTTGTCGGAACGTTGTCGTAGTCGTCTCTACGAACTATTAGAGCAAGAAAAAACTGCAAGGTATAAACATAGAGAAATTATTTTGTAAAAGTACAAACTCAACCGATAACGTTGTTACGCTTGTAAATGTTTAATTATCTTCTTTACTTTATAATTATATTGCTCTTGAAAAAAATGTTTTAAAAAAGAAATAAAATTTATTTGTCTAGCGCAAAACTCTGTGGAATATAAAATATATTAAATAACGGGACGAGTATCATATTTTTCCATCGTTCGTTGTTCGTCATAAATTTTGTATGGGGGTTCTACGAGTTACGTCAGTTTTCTCAGTTATTGATCTGTCGAAGCAGCGACCACTGAGGGGAGTGGCAAGATAATTTCATCGGTACAGAGAAAGAGAGAAAAAGAGGGCTGGCGGGTGGGTGGGGGACTTGGTAGGTAAAGAGAACCCATGTGTAAATTAAATTATTATACATATTACTAACTAAAACACGACGTCGCGTTATCTTCTAACACGCACAACACTTTATTACTTTGATACTTAAATGAAATAGGAGAGAGAGGGAAAGAGAGAGAGGGAAAGAGAGAGAGAGAAAAAAGGAACGTTTGATTAATTACACGATTCTCTACGAGAGATTAATTTGCGACTGAGACATAAAACGGAGAATAAAAAAGAAACGGTTGGAATAAAGAAAAAAACAAAAAAGTAACTCTGTCGGTAAAAAAAAACGAGTTGCCATTTTTAAACTCGAAACTCGTATTCGTTTATGCATCAATATTTAAGTTTGTCGAGAGTATTCAAAAAACAGTGAAAGAATGAAGACACCGACTTGTATCGTTTATACACGTGCATGCTGCAATTCTTCGATCGCTCCGATTGGTAAAAGAGATTGGAAAGAGATCGAGATGCTGTGATACGCTTTCTTTTTCTCTGAAACATTCTCTCTTTGCTTCAAATATTTAACGAATCGGTACTCTTAATTATACGTTATTATTATTTTATAAAATGTTGCAAATAAAATTCATTCTATTAAATAAATCAATTTAGAATAATGTAGATTATCTTTCGAGGGTGAATCACGTGCAAAGATATGAGAAACGTTGAGAAAAGTCGAACAGTACGCATACGCAGGCCACGACCTCACGTTGGATTATCGATTATGTCGTTAGGTCGCTGGACGGGAGAGGGAAAAAACAAAGAGAGAAAGTTGATACGGATGCAACGCGTGCTACACCTGTTACGTTCAAACGGCAAAACTTTGCGAACTAACACATATATGCATATACCTATTCAGTTTCAGTCAAATGACTTTGCTCTTATTGCGTTTTAACGAAATGTGCATTAAGCAGAAAAAAAAAAAAAAAACGTCGTAATATCGATATCTGCTATTGTATAATACTATTGGCTAAAAAATAATAAGATAAGGTAATAATAGTCTACGCAATAGTTTGTGAAGTGACAAGGAAAAGAAAAATTGAGCGTAAAGTTTAATTTACCAGGGGTGAGGGAGATAGCCTGTTGCCTTCTCGATCTAGAATTGTCCCGTTTGGTAGCTGAACTTTGCGAGCCTGAGACCTGCAAACCCGGTGCACTGACCGCTCGTTTCGGACCACCAATGGCTCCCGTTACGTTACTATTCCTAGCAAATCCGGGCGGTCGATATCTGGCCGATTTCACGCCACTGTGTTGCGGTAGAAAATGATAGACGCTATGTGCTTTATGCATTTGCGATGAGGTCGTTGATGTTGTCGTAAGGCCAGTTGTTGTAGTAGAAGCTGGTAAACGTGGTAGAGAGTTCGTGGCTGCGCTTAAAGCCGATTGCATGCCACGAGGAAGAGTCGTTGCACGAGATTCTCCACCACCACCACCAGCACCACCACCACCGTACTCTAGTTCGTCCTCGGTATCCTCGTCACCTGCCGATGCACCTAATTTTATATATTTTCAAAGACCGAGGTTTCAGCATATAAAAACGATTGGTAAAGCCTGACTTTACAAGGGAGACTTACCAGACTCTCCTCTAGTATTAGCATCGGGAACAGATGATCTTCTCCTATTACTCCAAATCCTTTCCTCGATAGATCCTCCMCCTCCTATACCTCCCCCACCGCTACCACCACCGATAGAACCGCAACTTCTAACTCTATCCAATTGTTCTCTCGACAAGCTCCTAGGATTAAACAACAAATCACCAGCACTACGTCGTTTGGCTGCCATTGCCAAGGCACTAGCACTAGCACTGGCACCAACCCCACTGACATCTCCGCTGCAAGCTAATAAACTTAATTTCGTTCTCGAGTCCGCTGCCATTAAAGCCGATTCGAAACTACCTCGCCAGGAGAATCTCTCGTAATCGCTTGCTTCCCTTTCCTCTCCCTCCTGCCCGGTCGACGCACTCGGATGATTATTGATCAGTAACAAAGGATCGTGAGATTTAGATCTAGGTAATTGCAGGTGCGTCGAAGATGTGGCATTCGTTGAATCCGACGTAGAGTCATCGTCCTCCGTCGTTGAAGCCGACGACGGAGTCCGATGATGTTGCGAATATCTTCTCCATGTTGTTGCGGAATGATGCTGGACAGCTGGACCACCTTCGGACACCTCGTGCATCAATGCTACCAATCTACTGCCTATATGATGCATAACCTTTGCGATTAAAGGAGGACTGCTGTGAGGTGTCGAATTTGTATCGGAACTAACACCGTCACCTGCCATTTTTGTGAAACTCTGTACCAATTTTTGATAAACGAATGCCGTGTCCCTACCGAGGCAAGGTGCCTGAATCGTAGATCCATTTTTATTATTATCTTCCTTAGTTTCTTTATCGTTCAAAATATTATCACCAGCAGTAGTATCGAATTTGCTAATGATCTGTTGACAACTTTGAGAAATTTGTTCTTGCAATGCCGAACGACGACCACCTGCAGCCCCTTCTAAATCCGAACTGGTATAATCCGAACTGTCGTAAGAATCAGACCACGTATCTTCGGAACTAAGATACTCGACTATCTCTCTAACTTGTTCGTCTCGTATCCCCGGTACGGTTTTCATTAATCTGGTTAATTCGTTCTCGAAGTATACCAATTGTGGTGGTTTCGTACGATTTTGAGGACACATTCTTGCCTTAGAGGAATATCCAGGTAATCGTGGACTAGGTGCCGGCGATGCACCGCTTGAATTTGTATTGGTTGCATTCTGACCTTGACCGTTCGAATTGGCAACCATAGTTTTGAAAAATTGTCGCATCTTGGACATCATCAGATTCGTTTCCTCGTCGCTGGACCAATTGTTAAAGCTATCTTTTCGCGATAGGGATGCATTTGGCAAGTGCGGCAAAGTAGTGCTCGCGGGATTGATCGGATGATCGATCTTTGTCGAATTGTTTATTTCGTTACCAACAATAGTCGTCTCGTTGGAAATGATTTCGTCGATTGTTCGAACACTCGCGTTACTTTCTTTCCTCGTACGATCTTTTCCTGTTTCTTGATTAGCTTCGGAATTAATTTGCACGTCATCGGGTATCTTTTGATGTTGCAAAAGATCATCGCAACTACCTACGAATCCGGAATCTCTCGATTGTTGTTTAGATCTTTGATTGTAAGCGATAGAATCGGCCGAGGTTACTGAGAGAAGATTTCTCGATGAATCAATTACTTGCGGAGAAGGTGTCGTCGATGCATTACCAACGATGACTGATGGCGATGACGATGAAGACAACGCGCATTCCGGTTGAGGAGTTTTAGCTCTTTCAGAATCTTCCGAATTAGCAGCTTCCGTATCATCCTCTACTACTACTTCTCCAACCAATACCATTTCTCTATTTGGTTCGGGAGTTTTGTTCCTGTCGTCTGGTACACGAGGACTCTGGGTACCCAAATTTCTTGGCTTTTTCTTTTTCCGTTTGACCGTGTCGAATTGACCATCGGTACCAAAAGCCGCAGTTTGTCCATCCTCCGCGCCGTCCGTTTCGGTCGAAGATCCTTCCGATTGTGTTTCCTGTAAATCTTGATTGAGACTTAAGTCTTGCAGAGAATTTTGGGAGCTTAAATTTTGCGAGCTTTGCGTTAAGGCCAATAAATTGTCGAGAGAAGAACTGTGGGATCGACCGGTACCCCTAGCACGAACGAGACGTTTCCTTCGTTGAGCTTCCGGACTTGGTCTTCCTTCGGAATCGCTACCAACCGATCCATCGGAGTCTCGTCTATCTTGATCAAATCCAAGAAACTCCGATAGAAAGTACTTTTCCAATCTGGAAGAGTTGAGAAATCCATCGCTGGAATTCAATCGTTCTTGACTTTGACAGCCAGTGGTTGTACTAGCATTCGAAGCTGTGCTGGTAGGTTCGTCTTGTCCAAGAGATTCCAGACCTTCCGAATAAATCGAAGAAGTTTCGGAGAGGCTATCGACCTCGCGAGATCCCATGCTCGAATTGTTTCCATCGCCACCGAGTCCGAAAAAGAAATATTTTTCTAATTCGGAGGCAGACGGTGGCCGTTGTTTTTTCGACGGACTACCTGTAGCCAAACTGGGCTCGGCTTCGCTCTCCTCGCAGGATTCCTCGACAATAGTATGAAGAGTAAAGTCGATAGCTTGCCTGTGATATCCTCGAAGTTCTTCCTCTCGATCTCCAAGATTATTGGCCTCGTCCTCGGAACTTTCCTCGGTCGCTGTCGTAGCTTCGGGCTCATCCTCGTCGTGGGATACTTCCTCGACCCAGGAATCGTCGTCAGCTAATCCTTCTTCGAGTATAACAACCCCACCACCCGCCGAGTTATCGTCGCTCGATTGGGAAGGCACACGTGCTCGTAATCCATCCCGTTGATGATCATTGTTACTTTGACGATCTTTCGATTGGGTGGAATCTTCGCTATTGTTGCCTTCCAAACGATTATTTATTTTACTAGCGTTCTTAACCGAAACGTCATCGCTCTCGCTGGCACTACCCACGCTCAAACCACTGTCCGCTTCTGCTTCGGAATGATTGGCGGTCACGTTGCTCGGCAATCTTTTCACCATGAGAGGCCTTCGAGGTGGTTGGCCAGTTTTACGGTGAGGCTGTTCAGCTACGGCTTCGAGCGCCAGCTGGAAATACCCGGCCAGACCCTGACCAGCCGAATGGACTTCATCCGGTTGCAACAAGGTCGTCGTGTCCGACGTAATCACGCTCACAGGTTGATACGAAGCTTCTTGGGTAATCATCACGAGGCTCTTATATCTAGCGTTGTTGTTGCTGTTGTTGTTAGTACCGGTGGTATTGCTCGAAGGAATCGTCGATGAGGGAAAGTAGCAAAGTGGTGCGTCGTCGTCGTCGTCGTTGTCGTCGTTGTCGTTGTTGTCGTCTCTTGTCGAATCCTTCGTTGACGCGGCAGGAGGGAATCCATTCTCCTTTCGAGTGGACGGGCGTCGCTCGACTGAGCGAAACCGTGTCGATACCCCCACCGTCGAGTCACCATCACTATCATCGCATTTACCACTACCACCATTACTACTACTACTACTACTACTACTACTACCACCACTGCTGCTGCTGCTGCTGCTGCTGCCGTCGTTTTCCCCGTCACCGTCACCGTCGCGACTACCACCTCCGCCGACTTTACTTCCTACTACCTCGCACGAAGCAGGACTCTCACCTCTCACCGTGTACGAGCCGTGTTCTTGCGAATGCTCGTGCGCAGTCTCAGTTATTCGCTCGGCACGTTCACCGCTCATGAAGATCTCTTGAATTTTGCTAGATATAACATTGCTTACCTCCCGACCTGCCCATTTCCTTCCACCCACGTTTTTACCCACCACCTCTATCACCTTTCCAGTCTCCTTCTCTTCCTTCTTCCCTTCTATCCTGGCACCAAAACTCTCCTCTGTACTGGAATTATGTAACGAGAACTTATCGTCTAACGATTCTTCTTCCTCTTTGATCTCGCTAACCTCCAACTCATTTATACTTTCCAATGTATTTTCCATTTCTTCTCGATTCAACAGCAATAATTCTTCGTTCATGGCGGAAATCGTCGTCGTCGTCGTCGTCGTCGTCGTCGTCGTAGTTGTAATCCTGGTTGCTGTTGCATTGCCATCGTACAACGGTGTGACCTCGTACTCGTGAAGCTCGTCGCTACTCACTTCACTTCCTGTCGTTGTTGTTTCGTTACCCGTTGAACTTTCCATCGAAGAGAAAAACATATTGCCGATAACGCTCTGACTCGATTCGTTATTATCTTTCTTATGATCTGATATCTTGTCGTTTAATAACTCTGATAAAACGTTAAGCTTATCCGATTGACTTTCGCAATCGTTTTTCTTATCATTCGACGAGTTTCTACGTTCATCTTTTTCATCTACGTTGTCATCCTCGTGACCATCTTTATTCATATCCTTTAGAATTTCATCTGACGAATTGTCCCTCGACATTTCTCTGGATATTTCCAACGAGTCTGGTATTATAGTGGAATCCCAATTGCCACTGGAACTTGACAAATCACTTTCCGCATCGTTATCGTTATCATTTTCGTTATTTCTTTCCGATATCCGATTGATTTCAATCGATTTCTCGCACTTCTTAATAGAATTCATTGTAAAAATGAATTCCGAATTCGATTTAGCGTCGTTCGTATAAGTTTCATCGATTACACCAATGTTCGAAGTTGCATCAATGCTATCAGGATCAAGGACTCTAACCGATTTCAATTCTATTTTATTACCCAAGGATTCGCTCTCGTCAGCTAAATATATTTCTTCTGGAATTAATCGATGATCGAGTAACAAAGGTACTCTATCATTATTTTCGACTTCTACATGATTATGCTGCCCATCCCGAGTTTTCTTCTTTTCCGAATTCGAACTATCATTTGGATTATTAACTTTCCTTGATTCTGATTCCCCCTCGGATCTATTCCTACCAGTTTGATTTCCATTGATATCCTCAAAGTTACCATCCTCGTTTAACAAACGAACGTGTTGCAGTATCACGGATTCTTCTTCTGGTAAAGCACTGACACGTTTCAAAGTAACACCACCTTCGTTAGCCGAATCGGAATCATCTTCTTCACCGTTGTCCTCGATGTCGTTGTCGCTGGTAAGAGAATCATCATTTACAACGAACACTCTGGAGAATCTATGCGAGGAAGAATCTTCTTCGAGGTCGCTACTGTCAGCCGAGGAACGTCCAGAAGAGCTACCAGAATCCTCGTGAGATCTTTGATATATTATTTGGCCCCTACTTTCAAATGACGAAGATAAAGAGTCCTCGCAAACAGCTTCTTCTTCTTCTTCTTCTTCCTCTTCCTCTTCCTCTTCCTCTTCATTTTCCTCCATTCTGTTCTCGGTTTGTACGCGTTTGTCCACATTGACGACGTTAGAATCATCTTTCTGTTCAGTTAACTTATCTGTCGATTCGACGTGCTCTTTATTCGGCAAAGTTTCGTTCATCAAATTGTCTTCCACGTTTGAATTAGACTTTCCTAAATTATTATCGCGATTGGTCACCGTCTCCCCACCGGTATTTCCCAAATGATGATGACCGAGAGATTCCTGAGCCGATGAAATTGATGTTTCGATGGGTGACTCGTATAAACGTGGACCGATCACTTGTTCTGGTCTAAACGTACAACTGGTTGGATCGAAGATACCTGTCAGTCTTGGATCGAGTCTACCACGATGCAAAGGTTGATTAAATCTTGGATGCCAAGCGAACCAAGGTGCACCTGGTTCTCCTCTCAATCTCAACGTTCCAGGTTCAGATTCTCCAGCTCGACTTATCATCGAGGAGGCTGCAGCTGCGAAATCACCGGTCCAGAGAGCTGCCGGAATTGGGACCGGATATGGTACTGGGACTGGTATGGGCACTGGCACCGGAAGTACGTTCGCGTTTCCAGAACCCCCGCAAGCCTAAATGGAAGAATAAATAATACTGGATTGGAGAGATGCGTGATCACGTACCAATATCGTTTATTATCGATTACCGTTATCTAACACACTATCTTTCATCGTTAGTCTAATAAAAAGTATTGATTTACGAGAAAATTCTTGTACACTTATTGTCTCTCGAAGTATTGGAGAACAATTTATATGATCGTCGAGTAATACCATGATAAAACATCCGATAATAATATTATTGTTCGATCAGAAAATTATCATTTGAAATAAAGCTAAAATGTGGAAGAAGGTTGTGCATGCATAGAAAAAAATGAATCGAGGTAAGAAGATAGACGAAAAACTTACTCGACAAGCGGATGATCCACGTCCAGGACAACAACTCCAATCCTGCGAGATATTGGAGTCAGTGGCAACGTTGGTGTTGGTGGTACCACCAATGACGACTGGTATGGAACCGCTCTCGAAATAATCCCAATCGCAATCCTCCTCGAGGGATTGAGCGTGACTACCGCTACTGCCGCGTGGTAAACCGTTCAAGTAAGAGGAACTGGAGCAACTGCTGTCTGCATCGTCTTCCTCGCGACCGGATGAAGAATCCGAGCTGATGAATACCAATCTTCTGTAGTCGACTATCGGCTGATCCTGTCCGTGATTATTATTATTGTTGCTGTTGGAATTATTGTTGTTATTGCTGGTGCTTCCAGTTGGACTTTCTTGTCTTTCGGCACGTCCAATCACGTGAAATGTCTGAAGACTCTGAAGATCTTCCCCGCAACAAGTTCTAGCGTGCGATCGGCCTCTTCTTCTCGAACCTTTCAACAAAAACATTATTAGAAAAAAAAGCCCATTAGAAATAGGTAAACCTTTAGAATAACGCAAAGCATCGATCGGATCTTTATCGCTAACGCCGACTTTGCGATAAGCTCGACTTTATCTTTGCTATCTCTTTAATTATACTTTATATCGTATCCTCCCCCCTTCTCTTTTTTCCCCTTGATGTTCCGACCTTTTTTTTTATTGTTACGCTAACGTTACAACGTTAAAACAATTCGCATTACGAACTTGTTACTTGTTTGTTAATAATTACACATCTACCGTTTTGTGCCTACGCTTTACGTATATCTATACAGTACTTGGTAGTATTGCAGGTATCATACTTATTCCGAGATGCTTTCACTCGAGATAAAAGTTCTTTATCTTACTCTCTCTCTCTCTCTCTCTCTCTCTCTCTCTCTCTCTCTCTCTCTCTCTCTCTCTATTTTTTTTTCTTGTGTTAGTACATACAATTTCACTCACGATTACTAGTCAAGTATAACGATTCTCGACACTCTGAGAATTGTATTATTATTATTAAGCTCATGATTTAACGATGAAATCTTTATCGATATTTTGCTACTTCATAGATAAGATCTATTATTATTATTAGAATTTTGATCGAACAAATAGATGGATGAATTTTGTTGTTATTGTTGTTGTTAACGGGAACATTACAAAATTAGGCTTATTTCGAAACGGTGTAAAAAAAAAGTCGTATGGTTAAAACTATTAGCACCGCTTTGCTCTAACTTTTTACGCGCTGCTGAGTTAGCTGGTCAATGGCACGGGCCATCGTATGTATTCCATATATATATGTATATATATATATATATATATGTCCACGCGTACGATCCTCCGCCATTCTGGAAACGCAGCTTGCGCGACGTTCCATGAATGGAACAAATTCCAGTTTGGCTCTGCTCGGACAGAAAGAGAGAGGGGAATACCCAGTAATGGGTGGACTGGATGAAAGAGAGACTTTGAAGGAAAACGTCTAAGAGAATTCAAAAAATATCTTTTCAAAATTCGAAACCCCTTTCTTGAAATTTAAGATTTGCCATGTTATCTTTTTAGTTCAATCTATCGATTAGAATATTTGCAAATAAATTATAATACATTTATTTCTATTTCTCTTTTGACACTGTTTACAAATCAAAGTATATGATTGTTGTTTTTAAGAAAAAGTGAGATAGATATACAGATATATGCTCCAAGTTTTGTGAAGATGTGCGAAAACGTTTCAACCGAATTATCATTCGGAATGTTAGAATAAAACGTTTCTCTCTTGTTAATTCAACAACAGTAAAGTAGAACCAACGATTATTTTACTTTACTTACTTAAAAACTTCATCTCATTTTAGATATCGTTTATAATTGGCTGTTAATTATTTACTCGTAACGAGAATATACGTTCGATTAGATTCAAGACTACTTTCAAGACAACTTTGTTTCTTTTTTCTCTTTTTGGAAGGACAAATCAAAGTTTAAAAAGAAAATCATATATTTAAATTTAACGATAGAGAAAATAATTTCTGTTTGGATTATTTAATACTTTATCTAATAGAAATCTTTCTAACTCGCGGAAAGTTCTCCGATGAAATATTCCAATAATAATCTTACTGACGATCGAACTGCTCGACCGATTCTCCTTCCTCGAAGATTAATGAACGATATCGAGTTTGATGAAAGCGACGTGGCTTATAAACTTTCGACGTCTTTATAATATTCGATAGATCATAGGAAACAATGACTAGACATTAAAAGGTTGCCTTATGTGAAATATCTTAATGAAAAGTAATTCTATCTATGGATTATTAATAATTAATAATCCATATTACCAAATAACGAGTAAGTCTACTAATTTTTCATCTACAAATTTCCCTCCAAAAATATTCTAGGATATTAATCAAAACCAATTTACTCTATGATTAATTACAAGTACATATATTAATACAAAAATTATGATACTTTCTTTTACTTACACTTCGAATGAACACAACGTTAAAGAGAAAAAAAAGGAAGGTGTTTTAAAGGGAACACTTTGGATTTAATTTTGGTATTATTCGATATCGAATGATTCATCATCGTGTCACGTGCGAGGAAGGAGAAAAAGAATAAGTTCACTGGTGATTTTTTGTATTCGTTATTATTCCTGAGAGAGAAAGATAGAGAAAGAAGAAGACCCGGTGTTTCGCGTGGGCTACCTCTGTTAAACTGAAAGCGTCTATCGACTACGAGAATAAGGTGAAGAAGGTGAACAAGAAGAAGAAGAAGAAGAAGAAGAAGAAGTTGAAGTTAAAGCATAAGAAGAATAAGTAAAATAAAAAGAAGAAGAAGAAGGGGGCACACACAGAACACACACAACACACCTGAATCCTATGGCATCGGTCACTACTTCACTACGAGCTTCGCCGCCGGCACAACACCGTCTACAGTTGCCGACGCTATGGCCATTATGACGCCCTATACCGGGTGTTACGATTAACACTATACTTACAATAGTATCTATCTAATAATAAAATAATATATACGTAATATAAGATGATAATTTCTATCTCTTCAACGAAAAAATTCTATATTTGTATTACCATTATCTAAACAGTTTCCAAAATTCAAGATATTATTTAACATAAATATAAGATTCTAATTTTTGTTCCAAAGATAATTATTAATTTCAAGTAAAACGAATTTAATGATATTCCATCGCGTTTGTTTTTGAAACGTTTAAACGTGACTTTCTTTCTATAGAAAAAACGCGATAATATACCTTGTCTTTTTTTACGATAACTTTTTATGATAATCACGTATTACGACGACGAATAATGTATCGCTATTAGCCTTATCAAATTCACCGCTTCAAGACTTTTGGCTAATCGACGAAAATTACTAATATAGGTTAACGTAAAAAGTTTCTTTTAACGACAACAACAACAAATGAAATATATATTTGTTTTATTTAAGAAACACGTAGAAATTCTCTTTAAGAAGAATATTTAAAAATACTTTTAAATCAATGACGTAAGAAAAAAAATGGAAAGAGAGAGAGAAAGAAGAGTGATTGATCACCCGGTATAAAAGCCGCAGGTGAGCGGACTATAGAACGAAACAGAGAACGTTGTTAGACTATTATTCCTATGCTGTTTCCCTGTGTGTCCCGCTCCGCTTCGTCTCACCTGCCCGTTCGTTCATTCGTTCGTTCATTCGTTCGTTTCTTCGTTCTTTCGTTCCTTCGCATCTACGCTAGTTCGTTAGATTATGCACGTACGAATATGCATATTATCGCATACGAAAAAAAAAAAAAAAGAAGAAGAAGAAATTACAAACAAATAAATAAACTTTTAGTGTTTATATTATATTACTACTTATATTTTTACGTAGTTTCTTTTTTCTTTTTTTGGCCCACTCTGTATAATGAATATGCAAATCATTCTTTTTATATTGTATTTTCAAATTATTTTCTATTTTTGATCTGGGTTTTTTTTTGTTCGTTTATATACGTTGAAAAATCCAAAGAAAACGAAGACACGTTGTAATATAATCAATTGAATCGTTTAGTAATCTTTACCATATTCCCCGTTGACGAAATGAAGATAGAACACACAGTGGAGATAGAAATTATATTATTAAAGAATAATCACATTTCGAGAGATTTCAATTTGCATTATGTGTCAGTGGTTCTTGTCTATCCATAAGAAATAAAAAGTTATGCATAGTCCGGCGTAGAAGAGCAGAAAGTACATCGACACGCAGAACGTGATTAATAGTTGGCATATTCTTGCCAAGTCCATGTTTGTACAGTCAGTTTCTATCTATCTTTTTCTTTTTTCTTCTTCTTTTTTTTTTTCTTTATTATAGATCGAACAGATATCCTCTTCGTTCTTCGAGGAAACACGATTTACGTTTGCACGTTCATCACTTCACGGTCACTTTGCAATATTGCACAAAATTCCTTAGTAAAAATTGCTTGCGATATTTAAAAAGTTAATTTTTTTCGAATGAAACTATTGACAAAGAGAAAAAAGAAATGATGAATAACAAAATATATATATATATATATATATATATCGAAAAGATTTAATCGAATCGAATTATGACAAAGATTTAAACACGTTGGACAAATGATTTCGAATGATTATGATAAATTTCAGAGAACGATGAGTTAGCACTGCCAACGAATCGAATACTCCGGAGACTGCTGTCGTTGCTTTTGCTATCGGAGAACAACCAATGGCTTCGATAATCGATGAAAGCTTATCGTTAACTGACTCCCATATGGCCCGTCTGTCACTAAATATACGCGTATGATACTTAAATACAAAAACAATAGAGAAGTATAGCAACGACATACTTTAACGTTGTTGCATTTTACGTTTCATTTTTCTTAAATATAATAATTTTAATTGCGTACGATTTATATTCTATATTTTATTGTATGTGTTAGACCATACGAGTAACTTAATACTCATCATTTCATCGCGTTCTTCTACCTATGAGTTCACGTGCATAATTACGAATGGTGTACACTCATCGTCGTGATTAAAACTAATCGAGAATTAAAAAAATCATTCTTTACGAATTATTTCGAATTCAACAAGGCTATTTATTTTAATGCATTATTAAAAAAAGTAAAACAAAAAGGTATACCTTTTTTTCTCGAACTTAGAATCAATTACAAATTTTTATACGCCGTTGCTGCTAACCCATTTTTACGTTTCTCTCGTTTCCTTTGATTTTTCGAATAATAATAATAAAAATAAAGTAGAAAAAATAAAGAAAATTAACAACAATGTAACGCGAGGAATAAGATTTCATTTATGTTTGTGCGAGAGATCACGCGATCGACAGTTTTGCACGCAAGTGTTTAAGTATATATATATATGCATGTACATAGATTCTATGTATATCTACATGACTTAGGTATTCGCATACTTTGTATATACCTTTTTAATGATCAACGCGGGGGTGGCGGGCACGAAAGCGAAATGTTAGCAGCATCTAACTCTTTTAATATAATTACATTTTACGTTTATCTACGTCTATTAGTTACCGGTGTACACTTTGTCTACGCTTATAAGGAACATTTTCCGAATTTACCCTATTTCTAAAGTGATTTATATTTCAAGATATTATCCGCTGTAACAAATAGATTATATTATCTATATAAACGCGTGAAATATGTAAGAGGAAACTGGCAACTTTAAAGAACCGTTCCTATCGAAAAACGAATAAAAATAAGAACACCATTTGTTATATTTATCGTTTCGCTTTAAATGATAAAACGTGGAGGATATTTTCTACAAATTACCATTACTTTCTTGGCACAATATTTCGCATATGTATATTACACGATGGTTATATTTGTATTCAAATATATATACATTATATATTATATCCTAGAGTATTAAAATTCCAACGATTTTTATTCGATTTTGCGATGATAGTTTTCCTTGAAAAACGCATTAAGATAACTCACCCTGAGCATCGAATTGTCTACGTCGTCGAAGCATAGATCTTCCCTGAGAGGATACTGGACCAATTCTATTGCTATGACCATCCTCGTGTGGCTCATCCTCCCCTGCACTCGTTGCACTATCTCGTTGAATCACTTCGTCGTTTCCGATGATCAATGGTATTGTACTACTTCCGTTACCGCCAAAAAATTTCAACTTTCTTGCCAGATCAACGCTATCGTGTAATCCCGTCTCGCTAAGTCTAAAATGAAAATATTCAAATAAGATTCTAATCCACTACAAATATAATCGTATATCAAATATTTACGAATGATATTATTTAAGTTACAATTGATTATACAAATTTGAAGCATACCTTACACTCTCGCTGCCACTACTCTCGTATCTTGCGCTACTATTCGATTCCCTTCTGCTCCTACTTATTGCATCTCGTATTCTCTGAGAAGCTGAGCAAGAGTCTCCACCTATTTTCCGTGGAAGTGCAGGTGTCGGTTCGCTTTCACTCTCTCGTGGGCTATACCTCGAGGACCTTGTACTCAAGGGGCTTGCCTCAGGTGACAAATGCTGCTATCGAATAGAAAACTTTCTTCAAATATCAAAGATCCAAAAAGCGAATGAGTTTAGCATATAATCGATACTCACGCTAGAGCAACGCTTGTTAGGTGTTTCGTCCGTATCGTCTGGGTTAGAAAATTCTTCTTTAGAAAATTTCCGGCGTACCTATCGTCGATAAAATAATCAAATTCAGAGTTAAAATTAGGACAAATAAATAATAAATTACAATACTGACCACTTGGAATTCGTCCATTTTCTTCGCATGACCAATATCACCTGATGATCTTCGATCGTTCGTATCACACATATTACCAATATCGAGATCATTGGAAGGAATGTCTTCGACAAGTTTATCATCCTCTTGAGGAATCTCTCGAAATCCATTATTATCCATTGCCATTTGAATTTGTTCTTTACCTTTTTCACTTTGATCAAGGACACCTAACATCGTGTCAACTTGTTCGATACGTTTCTGTTCGAGTATAACAAACTGTCGTCTAGTTTGCTTTGCTCCGTCGTCATCGGAGCTTTCCCTTTTCTTCTTGCTTTGTTCACAGGCAAAGGTAAATTTCGATTTGGACGTTGTGATTTCGCCCACACGTTCCTCCATCCTCTCCTTTTCCTCCTTAACTCTAACACCAGCAAGAAACTCCTCCTCCTCCTCCTCTTCCTCCTCCTCCTCCTCCTCTTCCTTGCCAGTTTGCTTTCCTTTTGTAGCAACGCTCGCATTTGAATTTGTACTCTCCCTGCCCACGTCCTCTTTGCTATTATCTCCTTTGAATATTCGTATACCGATTTTACTTTCCTCTTTAGCGTTACTATGATGACTATTATCGTTTTGAGATAGGATCGATGTACCACCACCAACACCAACACCACCACCACCACCAACACCACCACCAACACCACCACCAACACCACCACCACCACCACCACCTTTCGTATCGTCTTTCAAATCTTTTCGCAAAAGCATCGATGATGCTTCGATACGTTTATTTTGTACGTTCGTTCTAACGTCGTCCTTGCTATCCTGACGTTTTAATAATCTATCCTCTTTATTTCGAGGTGACAGGAGTTTCGGTATCAAACTTGGCACGCTTATATCCTCACGACTGCGTCTAAGGTCGTCGGTGCTTCCTCTATATCTGAAACGTATCATTGCATTGAGAACTCGTTAATACGATATTATTAGATTCTAACATGTCACAATACAACACGCGTAGGTGCAATTATTAAACGTTTGTTTGACTGAAAAGCATATTGCCGTTACTTGCACGCATGTTAAATTATGTTAGCGATATGTATTGTATGTATATCTCTTGCTACATACTTCTATCATTTGTATTGAACATTTTTACATTAGAACGTTCACTTTTGATCAATATTATTAAAGACTATTATAAAATATAATATACGTATATTAAAACCGATTATCGAATGAATTTTCTAAATTAGTAATTTGGATTTTTCGAAATAATCGAATCAGTTGAATATTGAAATGGACATCGGTGGTGTACCTTTGTGGTATAAGAGATCGTCTCGGTGATTCCTGAGGACTCCTGATATCCTCGAATTCCTTGGAACTCCTTTTAAATATAGGAATATTCGATTTTCTTTCGCCATACTTGCTCTGGGACGATTTAATATCCGGCGAGATTAATTTGGAAAGAATTCTCGGTGGTTTGAGTAAAGAGATCCTAGGTGTACCAACAACGATGCACTGTTCTTGATTATTATTCCCACCTATCGTATCTTCCTGTCCCCCATCCTTCGTCTTGGCACCATTGATAAGATTTTTGTCGTTCCTTTTGAAAGAATTTTTGATGGGAACAACATCGGTTGCTGCTGCCGTTGTCGCTGATGCCACCGCAATTTCCTCGTCCAATCGTATTTTATCGTTTTTTTTCGTTCGTTCGTTAATATCGGATCGCGAAATAATTTTCTCGAGAAAGGATGATTCGTCGTTTTTAATATCGATCGTCGGAGGTAAGCTCGTTCGATTTTCTTCCACTGATCTTGACACCGATGAATTATCCTTTCCTATGGCATATTTCTTCTTTTCAATAGATTCTCGATATTCCTGTCGTCTAGTTGGTAAACTTCGATAAATTCGCAATTCCGGTGACTTCCTTGCAGCTGACCAACGTATAGGTGGTCCTACAATAATACATAATTATGTATATTGTTCGTTATATCGTATTGTTAATAAATTTGTTTTAATTTACCGTTAATCGTCCAGGCACGTCGGATACTGTGCTTTAATATATCGAGTGGTGATGATTTTTTATCATCGATTATTTCTCTAGGAAACGGATCCTCGTACAACCATTTGCCGCCAGTGATAACGTGTAATTCTCTAGAAATTGTTGATATTTCAATTATTACAACGCGAACGCACAAAAATTAGATTCAAATAAAATAATAATAATAATAGTTCATAAAAATAAATAGAGAAATATATACTGACGCAATTTTATAACAAACGTTGCAAATCCATTCGACGTCTTTACCACTCTCGTTCTCTTCGTTCGGACCTCTGACCTCGATACGGCACTGCTTGCAAACCCTATACCTGCAACGAGTACACGTAGCCCCTGTGTTGTAAAATCTACCAAACGGTGCACAGCATCTTGCACATTTACGTCCTTGGTAGGACGATTCGCCTGGCGCCTTGAGAAGTCCCCTTCTTCGAAGATACTGCAAATCGTTTTTCAGTCTTCTACAAACAAAGGAATTCAATTCTATCATTCACAAAACACAAAGAATATTATAAATCGTATATATTTTATACATTTTATAAAAGCAGTAGTAATATATGTTACACTGTTTTCATTTTATAACAAGTATAGAAATACTTTGATCTAATATCCATGATCAATAATTAATATAAAATCAACGTCATTTACGATCGACGCGTACGATCATTGAGATTATTCATAGAGCATGATGAATGAATAAATTAACGTAAATCTACGTTTCTATTTTCTTTATTTTGCGTAACAGATATGCACGTGTTGATTTGAAATCACGTTAGAGAAATCCTTTTAGTTTTACTTCTTCCTTCCTTCCTTCCTTCCTTCCTTTCTTTCTTTCTTTCTTTCTTATTATTATCATCATCACATTCTAAGGTTATTTTCCGAAAAAATTCTATGTAAATAAACTTGAGAGAAATTCGGGGAACTGTAAGAAACGTAAAAGTAATCGCTGTTTATATTGTTCCTTTTCTTTTCTTTCTATTCTTTCTCTTGTATCGTCTATCGTAAATTTAACTACGAGATATATCTATTATTATTATTATTACGTTATTAACAATTCCTGCCAAGTGACTCTACGCAAATCTACCGTTCACCATAATCGCGATCATTAATCACTAACTCGTACGAAATAAATCATACGTCGTAAGAGATTGATTCGATCGTGATAGTCCTTCTCCCCCCCCCCCACCCTCATCGACGTGTTTAGAATTTCTTTTTTTTCTATTTTTTTTTTTGGTTTCATCAAAAATCACTATTTCGAAAGAATCATCTTCGAAGGTACTTGATTTTTTAATTTATTTGCTATTTTTATCGACTCCCCATAATGCCATGTGATTTATTGTTTACTATATCATAATATTCTATATATGATAATATACGATATATTACAAATATGCGTTTATTGTTTCTATTTATTTAATCAGTTTTTTCAATGAGTTAAAATAATCTTTCGAAGATCAAGAAGCAACGATATTTTTCTCAATGACAATTCGATCGATCGATTTAACGAAGACACCTATTTTTGGCACGCTCGAAACAAATCTATATAGGTACATAGGTGTTTTTACTTTAGATCTCGAGAATGAACCATACAAACCTATACATATATATGTATACTATTGAATCGTAACGCGTATACGATCGATGATAAATTATCTAGATCCGTTTTATTATGAGACAGTTAGATAAAAAGAGAGAATCGATTTACACTCACATCAGTGACATTCGAACCGATGACAGTGAGTCATCATAGGCGTACACACGAAGAGACAACGACAACGACGACGATCCGGTACCTAGTTTCTTTTGTTATAAAAAGAAGCAAAGGCGACGTGCAACTTGAGGTTGCTACATCTCAACGTCTATCTAGTGCCAACTGACATGAGAGAGTCTCTCAATAATGATAATTATAATGATGACGATGAAACGATGCTGGTAAATTTTATATACGTTTAATAGATATTAGTTTTATCTTAACCCCTAATTTAATTTAATATTTAATTTCTTTTTTCAAAATAATGTGTATATATATATATAATTTCATTTTAAATGGATGATATATGCAAAATGAAATTATCTTTTCTATTTTATTTCTATGAAAAAGATATTGCAATATGAATCGTGTTCAAGGTTGATCGATTACTAATTTTCTTACCAACTATACTGCACTCCATTTATGATATAATGCAACATGCGCTCTGAGATCTCGTATATTTAATAATTATTTTCTAAATATATACAAAAAATAATCATACTCTTTATAACTCTTTATATACATTCGACACTGATCTAACAATAAACATGATTCCTATGTACCACTATGTATAATAAGATCAATATTTCGAATCATATTCGCGCGCGAAAATTGAAGAGAAACAAAAAAAAAGATAAAAATGTTTTTAATTCTCACCAAGATTTAGAAAATACTCTTGTGAAGTATCCAAGTGAAACCATAATGATCTATAGATCTTTGATAAACACGGATAACTGTCTAAAAAAAGGTAAAAATTGTTAAGAATGGGTTGGTGATAGAGGAGACATAATTTCGTGGGACTGGATTTGAAAAAAAACGGAAGGAGATGATTATAAGATATGAAAGATATGAAATCCAGGAAGGTTGAGAAAAGGGGAGTTCTCGAGTTGGGGGCACTTCCGTCATTGAACGGTGTTCGAAGGAACGAACAAACTCTCGAATCCGAGATACGTCTGACCGGCAAAAGACGATCGGTATACACTGGTGACAGCGCAACACAGAACGGTATACACACTGAGAGATAGATATATAGATGAAAAAGAAAGAAAGAGAAAGAGATAGAGATAAAATACAGGTATACAGAACAACATACTATACGTATTCGAAACGTGCACAGAAGAAACCACTTTAGGTGTTCGCCGCCACTGCGTCGCACAGTGGAGACGCGACCGGTGAATCGACCAATGAGCTGCTTCGATGCACCACGAACCCACGCGCGCATATATGCACTAACTCTTATGCACTAACTCGTATGCACCTATACCTATCGGTTATTCAGTTCTGTACGATCACTTATTATACCAAGAATAAGAGAAAGATACAAGATATTCTTATAACACATACGCATACAGATATATTATAAACACGTACGTATACTGATCTCTGTTGCCTGAGACTTCTCGCGATCTCTCGGCCGGTCTTCTCGGTTATTTTCGTATTTCTTCGGTTAACTTCGCTATGGCGGGGGCGTGACTGAATGCACATTGGAGGACTTTAATGCTTTACCAATAATATCGCGTATTCTTTGCTCGGCCATAAGTTTATTCTCTTTTTTTTCTTCTTTCAAATAATAATATTATTATTTTTGTTTCCTTTTTTTTCTTAATCATACGAATAATAATGATTATACGGAGAAATATGAACCTATCATCTCTTGAGTAACGAGAATGAAATTTTTCTAATGGCTTTTACTCCCGGGAGTAATTTCTTTTTTTCGTCTATTGTCGTTGTTTTACCAAGTTGAAGTTCGTATATCGCGAGTGAGTCAGCGCACAGGTAGAATCAAATGGAAAATACCTTAGGGTTTCCTTATACGTTTCCTTGCTACGTGAAAGATATTTTTTTTCATTAAGCGTTAGTCCACCAAATTAGGTTTTATCGCGGCGTCGAGTGAGTAGATATATTTCGCACTTGCCACTTACGGTTTCCATTAGGATACGTTTGAGATATCACTTTGTAGACGGTTCAATTTGATGGGAAACTTATACGAAAGAAAACTAAATTCTATCATAGTATTTTCTCGATTCAGACACTACGCGTACTTTATAAATTTTCTTTTTACCATTTTACTCTAGCAATTAAAGTTTTTCTTTTTTTTAATCTCTCTCTCTCTTTTTTTGTTTGTTATATTTTTATTTATCTATTCTTAACACAATCTCTTTCATTTTTAAGCGTAATAAACGGAGCGTATCGATTTTTCATGCGTTTAACCAAATGAGTTATTTCAGTTTCCTTTTTAAGAGCAGCCATAACGAGATTATTATTATTATTATTATTACCTGGTATCACGAGGATAGAAAAATATAAGAGAAAGAAAGAGAAATATATATATATATATATTGAATTTACCGTGTAATTTCATCGTACGCACACACCATACACTTTCTAAGAGACTTCCTTAGAAAAATATTTCGCGATATCCAACTGCGGTCATTTATAACTTCTATTTTTACTAAACGTAGACGAGAAAATCTATTGTCTTCTCAGCACGATTTAATCGAGTTTGAAAAATTTGTATAAACACGAGAACTAAGAAGAAAAGATTCTTTTATATGTGTCCACCGTTTATGGTTACATGGTTTTACTTGGAAACGAATAGGTATCCGTTTATTTGCTCCATTACACGGAGATATACTACTTGTTATACAAATCATAATAACTAATTTTCTAATTTGTATTTTCGCATTACTCGATTTTATCATTTTACGATGAAGAATATTAAAAGTTACATGAACATATAATATATACTATGATAATAAATTGTCAAAATAATATTAATTGAACGTAGCAGTGTGTACAATAGATTATGAAATTAATTTATTTAACTAAATAATTGATTAGAAAATATTCTCTTATCAATACTCGAATGCACGTGTCCGCGCGTGTGTGATTACGTTCATAAAATAATAAAGAAAAGAAAAGAGATAGGACGGGTTTAATGATTTTTCGTTGCATCGTTGAAGACGTATGGTTGTATATCTATGGTGTATTAGATAGATACCTATTGCGCTCCGTAGAAATCGCAACGGCAATTCCCGTAGACACGTCGTAGGTATGCACGAACACTGGATAAACCGTTATTCAACCTTAAGGTTTAAGGTCCGTTTGGCTAAGTACCGCTTTGGGCCTATTCATGGCGCTCAACTCGTTCACGAACGAGAACACGTTTGCATTTTTTACATTATTTCTTTTTTACGGGGTTTGACTGATCGATAGAACGATCTTTGGATATCTCATTTAAAATAGTCCAACAACCTGTTGATTTTTACAAATAATGCATTGACCTAAATTATCGTGTGTGTGTGTGTGTGTGTGTGAATTTTTAATAGAAATAATGATTTATAATTAAAACGTTTGACAAATGTCACGTACTTCTTTCTCTCTTTCTCTCTTTTTCTGCATATACATATAATTACTATTTCCGTTTCTTACCGATTCGCGAAATAAAAATAAAAGATATAAATAAGTATTTCTATATGATTTTTTTCATGTTTCTTTATTTTTCTTTTTGTTATTCTAGTCCTTATCATTATATTTCACTCTCTAAACGGCGACGTTTTTCAGTGAAAGGAAGGTAGGCAACAGCTCGCATAGGAGAGGCGAACTAGCTTAGGTAACAACTCGAATAGACTGCTCGTGTTACGACCAATCAGCTGATAGCGTCGTAACACGCCGATTGGACCGAGTTTGTTTCCAAGATAAACACGTTAAATTATGATCTTATTAGCGAAATCATTAGCGAGATAACTGGTATTACCAATACTTTTTCTACAAGATATTTCATTATCATTTTCTCTATCTATTTCGAGAATGATTATTTTTAATGAATATAAACATTCGTTAAGTATTTATTTTTATGAATGAATATTTTCTTTCTTTTTTAATATCAGGGAAAACAAATTCTGAAGAAATGTTCAACGTAGTTTTAATCACAATCTTTGAATAGATAGAACGTACCGGAAAAGCAATATTGAAAAATATAAAAAGTAAGCGAAAGAAAAGAAGGAAAAAAGGAGGAGGATAGAAGATTTTTCACTTGTTCGAATTTTTATTTCTCTTAGGAGCTTTCTAACCGGTCAGGTGGCAATAACGGAACATTTCTTCGGGAGAAGAACTCGTCTCTTGGTATTTTTTTGTTTTTCAATTTAAATGAAAATAAAGAATTGTTCGACAAGTCGAAAAAAAAGCCAATAATAAAATAGCTGATATTTAATTAAACAACAAAACTATATTTCTACTTATATTTAATTCGCGTTTCTCACATATACTTTCACTGCACGTGTACGTGGGAGGGTTGGTTTGTTTTTTTATAAGAACGATTCTTTTTCGAACGTGGATTATGTTCGCGAGAAGGTAAAGTGGATAAGGTTCGTGTATAAGGTTCGTGCATAAGGTTCGTGCATAAGGTTCGTGGATAAGGTTCGTGGATAAGGTTCGTGGATACCGCGGGTTCTTTGTACCTCCGTGTGAAAGCGCCATTCTAGGCGGCCGCGACCATACGAGACACATAGAAAGACGAGACTCTCGTTCGCACGGGGGGTCATACCTAGCCTCGAGGGAGCAGTCATTGACATTGAAGGAGAGAAAAAGAGAGAGAAACTCTTCGAGAGCAAATACATCGAGAAGAAACGTGACTAATATCGCTGCAACACCTTTATATGCCTCTCTCTCTCTCTCGCTCTTTCACTCACACACCTGCATCTTCTCTCATCTCATATCACATCGTGTTATCTTATTCTCTATCCTATTTGTTTTTTTTTTTCTTCTCATCATTTGTCGACGAAAAATTATTTCTATATGTTCTCATTATTACACACGTTGTTTTCCTATTAAAATAAAGAAGAAAATATAATCATGTAGGAAACATCTTTTCATATAATCTGATAGTTAAAAGTAGAAACTTATGTCCAAAGATTTTTTTGTATAGTTTAAACGTGTAGTACATCCAGCAACCAACGCACCCGCACACATGCACACGACGCACAGAGATATATGTACAAGTATCATTTTGTAATATACGTAATATTAATAAATTACATGGTGTAAGATCAGCTTATAGACGACACGCAAAGATTCGTTTAATTATAACCATCTATCATAGTACCACCACATAGGGGAAAAAGAAAAATCAAAGCCGTGTGATCTTCGTGACTCTCTCGCAAAATGCCTAATCATTTCCGTTTAGGCCATTTCTTTCATGTTAGAATCGTTTGACGAGAAAAAAAAATAAGGAGAAGAAAACTATTCGATTTACGAGACTCTATCTACTATATAAATGTGTATATACATATATAAGTTCTAAGAAAAGCTAATTAAATGGATCGTTAGACCTGAGTCCATTAGATTTAACGACAAAATTGTTCTAATCGTTCAACTAATGTTTAAGGATAAAAACTAGACTGATGAATAACATAAATGAATAATATTCGTATCGATGTGAAATATTAAAATATATTGGATTTTTACTGATCTACCTGACAATGAAATTTCACATCGCGCACAAATAAATGTAGAAATAAATAAATTAATTAAATGACATGTGCACACACACACACACACACACACACACACACGCAAAACGATTTAATGGGAAAAACTTTCTCTCTCATTATTTTACCAATAAACGAAAGCAATCATTCGAATAGTAATCCCATCGATATATTACTAATATTCGCTATAACATAGAGTAGATTGCCAGTTGTAATGAGAGTATCTACAAGTTAATCAGAATAATAATTAACTTGGTATCTTTGAAAAGAAGAAAAGGTTCGGAGATATTATAATAATATTAAATACATATACATATTATATCCGATATCAGAAGAATTCTTTTTCTCTGTTTGAACTAACGAAAGGGTTGACTACTTTACGAAGAAGACGTCCGGTTCGTCGTCCGAATAATAATCCTTCCCATTCTCGATATCACCGCTCTCACGGCGACGAGTTTATGGAAAAACGAAGGAGAAATCTAGGCGCGTGTAACGCACACGCACACATATATATTATTTATTTTTTAATGTATATACATTCTCCTTAAAAAATTTGTCCAATTGTTTTATATATAAAAAATATACCTATACGAATGATTTTCTTTTTCAGTTATTAAGTCAAACTTTCGATATCGTTAAAAAATATTGATTTATTTATTTCTCTTCTTCTTTATCGATTTGAAATTGAATTCGTTGCCACGTTCACGTGGGTTACGCATCTCACGAAAGATAGTACGCATACAGGTATAAAAACACAAACACACGCACACATAAGCAGTGCCAGACGGTCGAAGCCATTCCGGATAAAAGGTGAAAACAGGTTTTCGCGTGGACGTCTTATTCCAACGACGAGTAGTAGTCTCACAGTGTTCAAAGTTCTCTCTCTTTCTCTTTCTTTCTTTTTCTTTTTCTTTCTTTCTTTCTTTCTTTCTTTCTTTCTTTTATTCTTTCCTTATTTCTCTTGATTTCTTTCTATCTTTTGCGAGCGAACGTTCGCGCACGTCGAAAACGTTTATCGCCTCGAGCGACATAGAAAGTATAACGCAAATAACACTGATAAACCGTTCGACTGTTACCTTAACGATATGAAAGTTCGAAATATCACCAAAGACGCCATATTGAATGATACCGTATTTACTAAAGAATTTCTTTACAAAAAAGAAGAAGGGATACAAAATTGAAATGATATTCTTCAAGAAGGATTAATTATTTTCCTCATCGTTTATTCTATATATACGTAACGTTATTATCCTCTTGTTTATAATTGATAATAATAAATTTAGTAATTGCTATTTTACCGGTTCTCGTTTATGTCGGTAGAACATATACGTATGTCGGAAAGAACGTGAACGAGAAAGAAAAAAAGAAAAAGAATATGGTATGCCTTCAATGGTGTCTCACGTAATACGTAATACATGATATATTCGGTACGTCGGATGATTTATAATATGTAATATGTAGATAACGTGATACCTGACACATGAAGTATACTATGCGTTATTAAATAATATCAAACTATATATATCTAAATGTATATATTGCCTAAAATCATTATGATGTACTTAATATCTCGCGTATCAAAAGTTATGCATTATGCGATATAAAAAACAACACACAGTTTATATTTTAACTGATTTTTAAATATTAAACCCTTTGAAAAATTATTTTTTAAAAGACATTAAATGTTTATATTATCTATTTCTTTTATTTTTCTTCGAATACATATATTATTTCTCTTTCTCTATCAAAAGAATATTAAAATATTTCAATTCATTTAGAGTGTGAATAAAATAAATGAATAAGAATATATAATATACCCTTGTTCCTCGTCGAGTGACGATCCCTGTTGCTGTTGCTGCTGCTGTTGTTGTTGTTGCTGCTGCTGCTGCTGCTGCTGAGGAGAAATTCGTACCACGTCGGTCGTCGACATGGTGCTCCTCTTTTATTAAAAAATCTCACATAACATGTCTCAAACTTTTTCTTTTTACTCATACATCCAATACTATCTGGGTTCTTCTTTTTATCACTTAAAATCCCAACGAATCTTGACAAATTTAGGAACAAAAAACATAGAAAAAGAAAGAAAACAAGCAAGCAAGCAAGAAAGAAAGAAAGAGAGAGAGAGAGAAAGAAAGAAAGAGAGTAATCCAATCCCTGAACTGAACGTTCAGTTACGTTCGAAGGGTATCGGTGCGTGCACGTGCGCGTGAGAGTACACGCGACCGGCTGGCGCCCGTCAAGGCTAACAATACAACTCTTACAACGAAAACGAACACTACAATAACAGTCTTTTTTAATTTTACTTCTTCTCTCTTTATATCTATCTCACTCTTTTTTTCAATTAAAATTTAAAAAAACAACGAAGAGAAAAACTTGTCATTATTAAACAACTCCATTATCGTAGTCGTATCCATTCCTGATTAGGGGCTAAAATAATGGCAATAATATTTCGGTTAGAAATGGAGAATAATTATTGGAAAAATCCCGCCAACAAAAAATATATATATATATATATATTATATATCGTTAAAAAAGTTGGGAACGTTGGTTCTCCAAAATGGAAGACGCAGAGAAAGATCAAGCACGACACGCGGCGAACGGCTCACTGGACTCGCTTCTCTTCGTTCAGAGTGTCGTGCCGCACCTCCTCCGTTCCCTTATTCTTCTTCTTCCTCCTCTTGGTCTTCGTCTTCTTCTCTACCTCTTCTTCTTTTTTTTACCTGGACGTTCCTACAACGCGGCGCACGTACGCACTAATACTCTATACAGTGAACGCGTGAACACATTCACGCATGTACACACACGCGCACAAGCTCATATGTGCGACGTCACTCAACGTTGCGTATACTTTCGATAGAGATGGTAAATGTAAAAGTGAGAAAGAGAGAAAAGAATGGATACCTGAATTGCACACACGTTGCTGCTGACGCACGAGTTTCTTTGACTACATATACATACTTCTTATATCATACGAATACATATGTACTTTTTTAACTTCAGTTTAATCTGAGAACGTTCGGTGTTACAACGTACAAAAATACGATTCTCCTTTTTTCTTTCCTATATATTATATTATTTTATATTTATATAATATGATTTCTTTTTTTTTTAAGTATATTATTAGGATCTAATCTTTGGGATAAACGTAACGAATTATCTATCGTATCGTTTGAAATTTTCATTGACGAATATTCTTTAAATAATAACATATCGCGTGCCTTTTTCCCCCTTTTTTTTTTTATTCTGGAAATCCAAATTTGATGACGATTAAACGCACAAAGTAAGATGAATATTATACGTCAACGACAAGGTGCACAAGCCGGTGTCAAACATTCTCTCTATCCTCTATCTATCTATTTATTTTTTGATCTATCTTTCTCTTTCCATCACTTCTCAGGTAAAACTCAAAAAACTGTTCTCATAAATAAGATTCTATAGCTTATTTCCTTTTCTAATACATTTTGGAATTGTTTTTATCTCAGCACGACTCCACTGATCTATACTTTAAACGATATTTACGTTTTAAACAAATAATATTCAACATGACGGTCTCACATTAAAAAGAAAATTTGAAAGGACGGTAAAACACTGATACCTGTTGCGCGTGAGAAGCGCTTTTACAATAACGTGTTCCACGCGTGCGCTTCCCCTCTATTGACCCTTTACAAGACCTTAACCAATCGCCATTACCGACAAACACGAAGCTTACCGAGGATGAACGAACAACACGTTTCGAATTCTGCTTAGCCGCCAAATTTTGTCCGTAAATTTTTGTTTAGCTTTACAAATTTTTTAATATCTTCAAGAAATATTCATATCATCGCGTTTTTAAATGATATTCTTTTTATGGAAATTTGTTATTGGGGTTTATTTTTTTATTTCTTTTCATTCATTGATATTTTTCTATTTTCTCGAGTGTGTAATATAAAAATTAAAAGAAAAATAAAGATAAGAAAATAGAGTAGGATCGATTGAATTACAATTTGATATGTATGCAATAAAAAAGATAGGTAGAGTTCATTGAAAAATACAAAATAAAAGTAGAAACGCAGGTGCGTAGATCGCCGTTGGTTTTTCATTTCGCACTCGGATCACGTGCCAACTCCGGATGGTAATGTGTACTCACGTGAAATGCATTTAACTAGACCGTGCTGCACATAAGAGCCTCCGGATATAGTAAATAATATATAATAATGCTTCCTCGTATGAGACGTGCTAGTTATTTCTTTCTTTCTTTTCTTTTTATCATTCAAAATGTAGTCCTATTCTTCGAATAAATGTATTAAAATAATAATAATTATAATACAAGATCTGAGAGATAACGAATCTTAATTAATTCGATCGATTGTAATAGAAAACAAAAAGATATACAAGTAAAATATGATAGATAATAATAAAAGTTCGATGAGCGTGTAACAAAATTATGGCGACACCATTTATGCATTTCATTCTGTTTAAGTTATACAAGAAAAATAATGCAAATACATTTCAAACGATTAATTATAAAACGAATAAAAACAAACAAATTAATAGATTTGTTCGTCGCGCGTTGTAAAATAACGTCGAAAAGTTTTGTAAATATTATATAAATATATATATATAAATATAGTATACATATATATATATATATAAATATATCTATAGACAAATATAATTCATTGATTTAAATCGAAAATTTATTTGTGCAATAATTGAGTACGTCAAAGAGAATCGTAGATTGGCGAAGAAATATATTCACAAGTAGTAACGATTATTAAAAAAAAATTTTCTTTTTCTGGTACATTTAAAATATTCTTTTTTTCTACTAATGTGCGTTTAGAAAACAAAATTGAAATCATTTTTTTTGTTTTCTAATCACTTTTTTGTATCTTTTTTTTTGTTATAATACAATGATTTTTCTTTATTCAATTTCTAATCGCATTAATTTTCGAAGAATCGACGCAAAGTGGATATACATTTGCTTTCTATTCTTTTTCTCGTTATCGCTCGAGATAAAATCTTTCTTTTTCTTGTTACTTTTTGTTTCGTTAATCATTTTACATAATTTCTGTACGACGATTTTTTTCCTTTTCACTATCGCTCATTATTAAAGGTAAATACGTTTAAAACAAGAAATACAATAATAAAATTCTTCTTTTCTTTTTTTTTCTTTTTTATAAATTCATCATATTTATAATAATCTTATGAATTATGTTTGGACCAAGTGCACGTAAAAATATATGCATTATGCGCCAAATGATGCATCGGTAAACTAGATGTCACGATTACATGGCCCGCGAAGTTCATGGTGCGATACGGTCCTTTGTACTATAGTCCGTTGTTTTAAAGGATCATTTTAAACAAACAACATTTTACATACACATTTAGCCTAATTTCTAAATCATTAAAATAACAAATATCATATTTGTAATAATAATAATTATTATTTTTCTAACGCGAGGATACACATATAGAGTTTAAATATGTTAAGTTTTAAATGTGTAACATACGATATTTAAATGTATGGCACTTTCGGATATTGTAAAATTTGGGCTTTCATATATATGTATATGTTGCTTGTGTATATTTTTTTTTATAGCTTAGGCAGTATGAAAAATTGAAAGTCTTATGCATTCTGTTGCAATTTCCAAAAACATTGGAATGTACGTTCTTTTCAAAGTACGTTTTCGATAATCAAATCCCACGAAAAGTAGTTTTATACTTTTATTAAATCTGAATATATAGTAATGACGCAATAATATAAAAGTATTTTGGTGCTTTTTAAAAGCTGAGTTACTATACGTCGGTTATTATTCTAATATTCTTATTCAATTTCAATACACCATAATAAGATGAATCATTGAATTTTTAATTGTATCTATTTTCAATTCAATTAGTTTTCATCACCATATGGAAGATCGAGATGCAACTTACTCGGGCCATGTAAGCAGCATTGCAATTTTCTCACCCACACATTTACGTAAATCCATCCATAACATACACATACAAGCACGCATAACATTCATTCATGATACATACATAGTATACAATAAAGATGCTCGCGCAATTCGCATTCTCGTATTATTTTTTTTTTTATTCTCTGTCTTTCCAATATTGTTATCACACCCTTGCACGCACATTTCTTCTAACACTTTGAATATTTTTTTCTCTTCCTTCCTTTTTCTTTCTATTTTTCCTTTTTTTTACTTTTACTTCATTTATACTTTGATTTTCAATAAAAGAGTTAACAGCTTACTTTCTTTTTTTTTTTTTTTTTTTTCTAAATAAGTGTGGATTGAAAGTGAGAAAAATCGATGATTATTATTATTATGGACATTTGTTAAGTTGATACGCGCATACGATGTCATACAATGTGTATGTATAGAATTAATATGATCTAAAATTGTTCTGCTGAAAATTTCTATGAAATAACATTGGAGCGAATGAGATTGGAACCAGTGCTAATTGTAAAGAGTCCCATGAGAAGAAGAGGCGATACACATACATTTTTAATTATCGAGATTCGGCCTTCGTTTTTGGAGGCCTAAAGGCTTTCAATTTCTTTGTTTTCTTTTGTTTAGTTGCATTAGAACCAGACTGAAACGCTTTCCAGCTATCGACTCGTGATTGTCTAGATTCTTCAAAGTTTTTTTGCCATTCACGTTCTAAAGCTGCTTGAGCTTCTGCAGACAATTCTTCTTCTCGTTTTCTCTTTCGTTGTTCAGCATCTCTCGTTGCTAATTCTCTTCTATAAAATAACAATTATCCAAAAGAAAAGTAAGTTAGCTAATGGTTATGAATGCAAGAAATATCCACATGAAACATTGCTGTCATATGTTATGATTTAGGTAGTAAATACAATGTTATAAGAAGAATCTTACCTTCGTCGTTCCATATCGGCAAACAATTTCATTGTCATTACCCAAACGGCATGTCTATAACCTTCTTCAGTTTCTTCTTCCAACATGTTAGCTGCCAAGGTATCGGTCTTGCCTTCTTTTTTTAATTTTTTCTTTTTCTCAGCGATCTATAATTAAACATACTACTAAAAAGATGTTTACATGCTATTTTGTTTAAACAATTATAAGAGCTTACCATATGATCCGTGCGAGCTTTTGCTTCTTCGATAACGTCCATACATTTCGCCCTCGTTTCCTCGTTTTCCAACGTCTTCCATGCTTTATTAACAACTGTAAAATTTCAATTAATTTATGATTAATAGATGACACAATAAATCTCAATCGGTTATAAATAAAATCTAATTTACTTTCAAAAGCTTGTTGCGCTCTTTCCGCGTCATCTTGATTCTTGTCAGGATGTACAAGGATGGACATCTATGAATAAAAGTCTATATTTTATTGAATGTTAACATTCACAAGAATAAATCTATACTTACACGTCGATATTTTTTTTTTATTTCATCTATAGAAGTACTTGGATCTATTTGTAAAACTTCAAATGGATTCAAATTAAAGTAAGAAGAACCAGGCCGCAATAATCTGTCAATTTGTTGTTTGGGAGTCAACACGGAATCCCTTTTTTCGATTTCCTTAACCTGAATAGAAATAAAAAATTACAGAGTCATGTAAGAACTTAAATCACTGTAAATTTATATACATGCATACATATATAGGTTAGAATTTAGTTCAGTATTAATAATTATAAGAAAACTTGGAAAAATTTTAAAGACATTTTGTAACAATATGTATTATTAAATATATTTACTTTGAAAATGTTTAAATCGTTAATAATAAATTGTTTTAATGTTATAAAACGATATATACAAAGTGACGTTTGTAGGAATTTGGACTAAAAATGTATTTATTTTCGTCGTTATGTAATAATAGAAAAAGATTGATCGTATAGTTAAAAGAAATATAAATAATTAATTATTATTATTAATTGTGTTACATTATATACCTCTGTATAAAACTCGTTGAATTCATCTTCCTTCTTCGTTGGAATTTCACTGGGTAAACTTGAGTTAGTTGCGGCCATCTTGATTTGTTCCTATTCCTCGAGTTCCCTTGTCAACCACCGATTCTAACCATTCTTGACACAAGAAACGACGAAATGGACACGACACTTGTTTAGCAAATCGGAACATATGGATTTTACGCGCGTAAATTCATTTTTTTTAAATTATATATAACTAATATATATATATATATATATATATACATATATATATTATCAGAAAAACAAATTACATATATTTATACATGCAGAAAGTGACATATTTAAATCGAAATATTTAAATATCCATTATTTATGATTTCATGGAAAATGTCATTAAAAAAAAAATTATATTATTTTAAAGGAACACAGATGATCTCTAAAATTTAAGAAGAATTCACGTTTTTTTATAGATCTTATCGAATTCTTGTTGATATTTTATAATATATCGATACTTCAGTATTTATGTTTCAATATATTTAAATATTATTTTTGAAAACTTATTATAAATATATTTTTGTTTAAATAATCAGGATGGGTATGCTTGTATACATGGCTGGCGACATAAAATTTGTTATTATTTTATTAACAAAGCTTATAACAGCCAATAAACAAGTAATGCTTCTTCGCACGGTAATAAAGACATATCAAACGAAATGAAAACGGCAACATTCACATATTATGTTATTGCAGCATACACTTCTGTCAAAACTGATTTGACTAACAATTAAGATCTAATACGTTCGAGAAATACTAGATACTAACACGCATTCATCTACTATATGTATTCGCTAAACTTTGATGAGAGAGAAAACTTAGATTACGTAAATGGTGTATTTAGGTAGATACGGTGTGTAAATACTAATATACGACACACTATACGACATCTAATATTTCGTTATATATATCTTTTTCTAATCTCTAGCTTTGTAAATCTAGAAGTAAGCTAATCGTTACTATCCAATCTCTTATTAGACATAAAACGTATTAATTATAATATAATGTTTGTCACAAGAATCAATTTGTTCGAGATAACAAAATGGCATAGAAATTTACAATATAAAATCATTTCTAATTTCAATGGTCCGATGCATTTCTTTATTTCAATTAATAAAATTTATATATATAAGATAAACCTTTCTTATTATTTTATTCAAACACTTGAAGATTTTTATTTCTTTAGTTACATATGATAGATATTATTAGTATTATATTTTTGTGTATTCGTGAATAAATGTAACTGTAGGTAATACGATTTTGTATTTTTTTAAATTTCGAACGAAATGATACTTGCGACATATTATGAACATACAGTTTCCTCACAACGGTGTGTATTTTTTTTTTCTGTTAATAGTTTATAATTCTATACGAGAACTAGCGATTAAAGATATTAACGATAAAAATCGGAAATCCAGAGGCGTATAAGCATACTTGAGTATTCTATGAATATAGTATATATGAAACATTTATTTATTTTCGAATTTAATCAAAATTGTGCGAATATGTATGTGTGTTTTATCAAAATCTTCAACATTCTAAATTAAATATACGTAGCACAAAAAGGTATATAGATTTTATATAGAAAAAACTAAACTACTGGAACAGTATGGGGGGAAAAAAAAAAGAAGAAATAACACACTTTTTACGCCTCTGTACATTTGCCTCACTTTTTACCATAAAGTACACAAAGCTAGCGAGCCAACGATAGAGATCTCAACGTTTCTAATCTATGTAGGTATTATATATATCGACATTCTAAAATGTATATGCTGTGAGAAGCAATAATTCTGGGACACGAAGTATATTATATTGTCTATTCATTGAAAATGCAATTATCTTCTAAATAAACGTATTTTAAAATGCATACGAACGAACGAAAACGAACGCATATTATATTTAATATACAATAACAATAATAACTATAACAATGTGAGATAATATTACTTACAGTAAGATAAATAAACGATACTAAATATGTTATATTAAACAAAAATAATCAATATATGAAGCATAACAATGAATAAAATATTGATAAATGTATGACTTACAAATTACATGGTGTTACGAAGGATTAATTAATCGTACGGACAAAGAATGAATCGTATGGTAATCGTGATTGAAAAATATGCTCTTTCTAATTAGTGTGTTTTACAAATTACATCCTAATCTAACGCGCTACATTAAAATAATTGGAAAATAAATAATTCTAATATTACATATATATTAGCCATTATTATTACTTCTCACTGCAAGCAAGTAAAAAGGATCACCGCTCTTTATCTAACACGTGTAGTTAATGTTAATGTTGAGATATCATTAAAAATATATCCTTATAGACATGAATTGAATCGTGCGATTATTGGCTTGATTTATCATTGATGATTAGAATAATGAGATCGACAAAAGTGCTGTTAGAAATCAATCGGACGGGAATATCCCATTTAAAATTCCTATTCATTATTTTTCTTTCTTTTTTTATCTTTCATTTTCTTTCATTTTCTTTTTCTTTTCACTTTATTACTTTTGTTTTTTTTTCCTTTTTCTTTTTTTCGCAAGATCATTTTGAAGAAGAATTTGTCAAAATATATTTCTTCATAAAAATTGACATTAATAAATATAATAACTTATCATCGATATGCATATATCTGAGAATTATTATATATCCTTAGAAAGCCGATACACGTGTATGTCTGTAATGTATGTGTGTAAATATGTATATATGTGTATATGATTCGACGTGGAAGAGAGTCGATAATCGTAAGAGAGAGAGGGGGGGACTTGAAAAGTTAAAAGTGACAAAAGAGGAGGGTGGAGCTAGAGAAGAGGAAAATGGGATGTGTTCATTGTAAAATATCTCAAAGGAAGTTGAGACAGTTGATGCGTGAACAAGCAGTATAGTATAATACTTTGAAAGAGTAAACGTTTTGGGATATGATTATAGACAAGTAGATTGGTCGAAATTTATTCTGTAGTATTGGCAAGCACACTTATTTAGGGGAGGGAAGTGTGCATGTGGGGGGAAAGGAATAAAAGATCATTCAGAGATGATCTCTTCGACAGTTGACAATTTTCTTTTCGGTACAGGTGACCAAACATCATTGTTTTTCTTCTTTTACTAATGACGGATTTAAAGTTATTATGCACATTTACACGATGACGATGAAAAAATGTTCGTAGATACTTTGACCTCGTCCTAATACATAATATTTTATTCTATAATTGATTTTCTGCCATATTGATTTAATTAAACAGTTTTGATTCGCGATCAGATTATTTTGATGAGGAGACCAGGTCACAGGATCTAACGTGAGATAATTGAATATTTAATATACATAGATCGTATTATATGACACACATCAGCACGATTAATTATGTCTACCATATACACAACTCTTTAAAACACATTAGGTAGATCTCTCATATCAGACATTTTAAATCTTCCATATATGCTTATTATAATTACACTTAAGTGTTCATTAATTCGATCTCGATGGATCATCTCGGAAAGATGATCATCTCGTTCATCGTTATTTCGCTCTCTGATTTGTTAGATATTATTATTATTATTATTGACGTTAACGGGGAAAAGTATTGACGGCCTCCGGATATTAATATTATTATTATTATTATTATTATTATTATTATTATTATTATTATATATCGAATCGACGTGAGTTTCAAGTTTGATTATTATAGATTTTCTTCCTTTTTTTTTCGATCTCTCTTAACGAAGAGATGAATCCAACGAGAAACGATATTTCATTTTTTGTTAAATCTTATCGTGTTATTTTATAATATAATATTATATAATATAATATATCAATTTATATACGTATACACTCTTACAACACACTCTATAAAAATTTCACGTAAACGTCCATAGATATACTATCTAATATATTTATGTATGCACACAACACTCTCTTTGCGCGCGGAAAAACACTATATATTTTCGCATGTATAAACTTTCAAAATCTATTTGGCACTCTCCTAGTTTCGTCAAAAAGGCGAGCACGCTTTGCTATATTCTTCAATTCAGAGACATTGCATTGGAGTATCGATTTACTCTTTCGCTACACATACTTGTATAATTTTATTTTATTTTATTTTTATTTTTATTATTTTTTTATCTTTTTTTTTCTTTCTTTCTTTGTTTTAATGCTTTACAATTATATATATATATATATATATCTTTTATATTTATACGTTAATTGGTCTAATCGTAAGAAATTGTCTTTATTTTTAATCCAATCGCATATAAAATATTATCGGCTGCGACTTAAATGAGACGCTCCACGTGTGATAATAATTATATTATATTAATCGTTATACAAACACTATATAATGTATGTGCTGTGCTGACTTTTTTTATTTGTTTCTTATTTAATATTTAATTCTTTTTTTTTGTAATTATTTTCTTTTTTTTCTTCTACTTATTAATTTAATTAATCCCTTTTTCTTCTTCTACTTCTCTTCGCGAAAAACAACTTAAATTTAACTCGAAAGAAAGTGTATTCATCGTTTCGCACTTCGATCGTAATTTTCGTAACTGTTATCTTTTTCTTTTTTTTTTCTTTTTGTTTTAATTTGAAGCATAAATTATACGTATACGTGTACATCGCTAAGCACTCTCGTGAATTTTCATAAATGCAATTGAGATTCTGTTTTGATCATTGATTTTTGTATATCCCGAAAAAGGCTAACGTAGCGCGTATAAACTAATAAATAGAAAAAAAGAAAAAAAAGAAAAAAGGAAATCTTTTAATAATAATATTTTGTCATGTAAATTAACGAAGACAGGCACGTGCGATTAGAAAATATAAAAGACCCATCTTCGCAAATATTAATCATTATGGTTATTAAAACACGGCGCGTTTATAATATATTTACAATTCTTATTATATGTTTATGTATAAGTGTGTAGAAGTTATTCACAATAAAAGCTTTTTATATATTCTAGACAGTCACTGCGGATAATGTTTGTTTTATTGAAAGAGATTTAAGCTGGATGCAGATCGTTTAATAATTATAATAATCATTTTTCTTAAACGAGTTTGATTTTTCTCATTGATTTCGGAGATATGATAACGTTAAATTAGATAATTTAAAATTTGTTCTTTTCAAATAATTTTTTTCCTCCCCCCACCATACCGATATTATCACCATTATTATATTTTCTTTTTATCTCATCTTTTTTTTTGCTTTATATAATATTTTTTGTATCGTTAAGTTAAGAAAAAAGGTATGTTCAAAAAATACTTTCGTCTGTATAATTTGATTTTTTTTTAAAGTCCCGAATATATATGCACATATAATTACTTATATAGGTGGTTCAAAAGTTATTTAGTATTATATTTTCATAGATTAATTACTCTTCTTCTTTGAAACAAAAGAAAAAAAATATAAAATTAAAAGAGGAAGAAAAGAGTAATAAATTGTAAAAAAAAAAAAATCGTTTAGAGATCACACCTGGCTATTTTCGATTCATCCTGTATACATGAATCGCGTATGCGTTTTGACAAATTCTCTCCTCGTTTGTATATATGCGATTATGCGATTAGAAACACCACGGTGAGAGAATATAGTACAAATTCGAGTTCTAATCTGGTCAAATCGTGTATTCTCGAACAGAATTTAATCGATGTAGTGTATCTATAGACGGGTGACTGTATCCAGCGATGTTAATAGAATGAGATATTCGAAGGGACGCTATTAGCTTTGATTATCTATTTTGATGAGTTGCTTCGGTTGCCTTTTGATTAGCGTGATACGGACATATTACTAGGACAACGATTAAAGTTAGGGTTGTTTCAAGATTGTGGGGGAGTTGATGATAAAAATGAGACGAAGAGAGATAGGGATACACAACAGTTTAGGGTGACTATATACGTGATCGAACATTTTCTTTTAAAATCGAATTAGAAATTCGTTTTAAATATTCGACACGTTAAATTACATTTTGTATTTTGATTTCGGGCTGTCAGCCATTATTTTCTTTCCATTATATTATATATATTTTTATCATTTATATATATATATATATATTATTAATATATTTTTTTATATATTTATATATGTATTTTTATTTATTTATTTTTATATATATATATATATATATATCTTTTTTGGTTGTTATTTTAGGATTTGTTACGATTATAAATCTTACACCGATATACGTGCTGCGACACCACACTCTGTATCGAAGAAGGCTGTCGATCGAAACGATTCATAATCCCGTTACGTTTGAGATCGAGAAATGTTGAAATTCATTTGATTTATTTTATTTAAACAATCGTAGAAATAGTTTCATTTGAAAACACGATTTTACGCATTGACGTAATAGGATTTTCGGTAATAGGAAAATATGGTAATACGAGGAGATTATGCGTGCTTTATCTCACTTATCTATAAATTATATTATACATATGTAAATCTATGTATCCTCTTATGATCTCGATCTCTCTCGCTCATCAAACGTTACGTCGACGCGAAACGATTATTAAACATTTATAAAATGACGAATAAGCTCGGCGCATTTTAATGAATCCTATGAGTGAATTGTTTAAAAAATCAAAAACACAACCAAAAATTGCGTATCGATTTTTAAACGCATTCTTATAGATTTTAATCCCTTTTTTTTTTGTCTTTCTTAATCATGTATATGTATTATATATGTATACGATCATGTATTGTGATAATTACGTAGGTATTTAATAATAAGATACAGCACTTTGAAAAAATGGCACATTTTTCATGGGAAACAGCATATTATCCTTATTGGCTGTCACGCAGCAATCTAAACATCATTTATTACAACAATCATTATCGAACACCATATCATCGACAGACATATGTATACATATACGAAAGTTACATATACATATATATGCCTCTTTTATTTAGCCAAATTTATAACGACGATTACGCACGCGCGAGATATGTTTTATTATTAATTATTATATTATATTATATTATATTATACGAATCAAAGCAACGTTTAGAGACACTCTTTTACGTCAATTATAAATTCGTACCTAGCATATGTGTGTGCATATGTATGTATATGTGTGTATTGTTTTATTTTATCTCTTTCTCTCTCTCTCTCTCTCTCTCTCTCTCTCTTTCTCTCTCTTTAGCGGGTTATAATAATTTGTATTATTATTACTTGTTTGACTAGTAGTACCGATATGTCTATAAAATGTATGAACTGTGCTATTGCTTTCCCTTTCTTTTATTTATTGATCCATGCATTTATATTTTTTTAAACGATGACGGATGTTCAGGTATGTTTGTTCCATTATCTTTTTTTATATTTTCCTTTCGCTAGTATTTGTCCTGTTGTGTAGGTATAGAATAGATACGATTTCTTTCTTTCTGCACCGCGGAATTGACTAATACATTAATTTTCTTCTTCTTGTGTCTCTTTATTTATTTATTTTTTTGTTTATTTTATTATTTTTTTTCTATAAAAACTCGAAGATTATACGATAATCGTGATAACGTTAACTGGTTGTCACGAAAATCGAATTCGAGCAGGAAGCAAAGAAGGAGAGAAGTCCTGTTTTCACATTTATGTCTTTCAGAATTTCGCAATTGCGTCCAGTTTTACGGACGAACATGCGCGCTTATTATTATTATTATTACTATTGTTATTATTATTATTACTATTATTATTATTATATATACACATAAATGCATATTATGGAAATTGTGGAAATGAATTCAAGGATTGGGAATAAATAGGAGAAGGGAAAATGTTTCTGTGTTTGTGTATGTGTTCCTGCCTATCTAATTATTATAATTCGATTTTACAAGCGACGGTAACAGCATTTCTCTCTCTCTCTCTCTCTCTCTCTCTCTCTCTCTCTTTCTCTCTCTCTTTCTCTCTTTTTTAATTTATTTTTTGTTATTATCTTGATGTTCTTCTTCTTCATCTTCTTCTTATCATATTCTTTGATTAATAAAAATCACGTATGGGTAAGCCGCGCTATCGAACATTTAGAAGTAGAAAAGCGCGGATTTTTGTCCTCTTACATTTTGTGTTCCAATGTGCAAGCGGCTATTCCGATCGATATCAGAATTTAAAAGGGTGTTCCTTTTTTCTTTTATTAATAATCAATGTTATTTCTTCTCATCTACGTTTATAATACGTTCTTATTTCTTTGAAAAAGATTATTACCTCCGACATCTACTTGATAATTGATAGATAATAAACAAATAAGAAAAATAACGAAAAGAAAATATATAAAATGAACGTATCATCAACGCATTCGGGACCATCGTTCCTCTTTCTTTTTTTCAAATTTTTTCTTCTTTATGCTACTATGCTAAACCGATATGTTTAGATATATTTTCATTGAATTAGAAAAATGTTGAAAAACTCGTCCCAATCGCTAATGTTCGATCGTCTCGATGTGTTTAATAAAAAAATAAATCAAATCAACAAACAGCTACTATATTTCTAATTAATTATATCATTCTTTAGTGTTAAGAGAAATATAAAATGTTGGTAAGAAAAAAGAAATGGTAAATCTCTAATGTTAAGAGCGGATGAAAATGCCAAGATTATAATCAATTATCTCGATTAATAAGGAATAAGGTGATACCATGGTCTGTGCACCCCCTACACCGATGCGCCTCGAAATGACCTTTGATTTATAAGGTCATCCGTGGCGAACGGTGAAGGGGGTCCGGCCGCTATGCTTGATCCAACTCGTGACAAACCTCCATGTAGTCTGGATTGTGCATTATGTCTTTTATCATATCTTTCAGAATCGTGTAACGTGGAAACATCGGATATATCTTCGAATTGTTGTATTCCTCCTATAATACACAAAAATTCATATATTTATATATCAAAATTTCATAGAGATTGATATGTGCAAAATAATTATTAATTTTTTATTATATCGACTCGGTCAACTATATTAAAATTATATTTCAAATGATAATATTTTGCATGAAAATAAATATAACACTCTCTGACATATATATATATATATATATATATATATATATATAATAAAACTTGCTAAATTATTTACTAGCTAATTTTAATATCTTCGATTAATCGAAAGATTATCTTGCATTACTTTTAGAACGAACGAATGTAATTGAAAAGGTTTGTCTTTTTATTTCTCTCCTTTTTCTCTATTTCTTTTTTTTTTCTTTCAACGAAGTCAAGATTCAATTTCCATGGTATTATATTTGAATATTATTATCGTTGGAGAGTTAAAAACGGGGCAGGAAAGGACGGGGGGTAACGTTTCCGCGTAAATCCGGATTTTCCTAGGCGTTCAATTTTCTCTATTGACGAGAAAGAGTATAAGATAAAACAAGCCTTCTTCCTCTTCCGTCTGTTCGTCTGTCTGTCTGTCCAATCTTGTGTGTCCAACTATTCGGATAGATTAACTTCGTAACACTAGGAAAAGAGAAATCCCATGGTGGGGTAAGGTGATTTACGTGTATCGTTTTCAATAACGTCTTGCCATATGTTATGCCAAATCCGGTAAGATTAAACGTACCCATCTTTTTTCTTTCCACCTATCTAAACCTCATTCGATAAACCGATACAACCTTTTTACTTTTTTCCTACTGCAGACATCGCGAAATGATGATATCTGCTTTTATATTTTCTTTCTCTATTAAAAAGAAAAAAGAAAAAACAGAAAAGAAAAATAGTTTCATTCCCAAGGAGTTTCTTCTATATAGTTTCTTCGATCAAAATCGTCAATTATATTTTTATATTTATTTGTCTTCCAAGGTAATACTTGTTATATCCTTAGGGATGAGTTCAATCAGTATTTTCTCTACTATTTGTTTCTTTTTTGTATTCATTTAAAAATGGGAATAATCGTCCCTATAAGTCTATGATAGTTTTGTTAAATTTATTTTCTACGTACCTTTAAAACACGAATAAGATTCCTTAGCCCTGTATACTTTTTCAGCAGCCTGTACAGATCATTGGTCATATGGGTATTCTCCGTTTCGATCATTGCCGTAGTCAGGCCTGCGTCAATGATATAATAGAACGAATGAATTAATTCCCAGGAAACTCAATTCTACATATTTGTTTACGCAATATGTGTGTACGAGCCATTTAATAATATTCATTTTCAATTTTTTTTCTTTTCTTTCTTTCATAATAATCATTTTGTATTATATGGACACATATCGATGAATAAATATACGCGGTAAATTACGACAGAATGATAATTATAATTACGATTGATTTGATATCATTATTGTTGATATAATTGCACGATGACGTATCAAATTAACGACAGTAAATTATTTTTATTTTCAATTCAATTTCTCGAAACAAGTTGATTCATATTATAAGCAATCATAATAATGCATAAATATTTCCTGCATATATATCTAATAATAAATGAAATTATCCGATAGACGTTTACCATTTATTTCACACATATATATATATATATATATTTTTTCTTTTCTCCAATTTTAATTAATCGAAGAAATAAAAATAGGAAGAAGGATCGTGAAAGTGGTAGACATTTTTTGTCCCCTTTTTTTCCCTCCCTTCCTTCCTTTCTTTCTTTCTTTCATTTTCTACGTTTCCCCCGTTCATTTCTTTTTCCGTTCTCCCGATAATGGCGTTTACTCACCCTCGAGTCTCTCAATGCGTTCCCTTTTCGTCTCAGCTTCCTCCGCCAATCGTGCCGAGGTTTTCACACCCTCTCCACTCTTGTGAGTCTTTTCCATGATGGAACAGGCACGCAGAACGAAGGCTAGCACCGTTTCTTGTTTCTCTTGCCTTGGTATATCCACCAGAGTCCAGTACTGCGTCTCTAGTTTGATCACATCCTGAGAAAAGGGACGAAAACCGCAACTACGGGGGTAAACCAGGTATATACCTATCTACTACTTATATACTGCTGCGTGTATACGTGCTTTATGTATATATATATATATGAGTCAAAACCACATCACAAGCAACTTTGCGAGCTTGTCAGGAGATAAGGGTGAAAGAAAAATAAATTAAGGAAACTACTTGTTCGCATAAAAATTGTCTGGAAAATAAAAACGTATATATATATATATATTATATATAATCGTGAAAATGAAATTGCCAAGAAAATATTATGTATGTACTCTATAAAATGTATATTTTAATATATATCGAAAATGTGTGTGTGTGTCTTTTTTTTATCAAAAATGCACACAGCTGTTACTCGTGGTACTTCTAACACGAAATTACAGAATCGGGATTATCGATAACGTCGATAACTTTTAAAGAAACTCGTATTACCTCGATAAAATGACATAGTAGTTTCATAAGAGAGATCTTTGAAAAAGGTATGTGAGAAGGGTAGGGAATAGGGGTAGGGACAAGGGGTAGGGACAAGGGGTAGGACATGAAATTCCATGCGCGAAGTTAATTTCATGCTGGGATAGTTCACGTTGTATGTACGAGTATGGTTATATATATACATACATTCGTGTATATAGGTATTTCCCTTTAGTGGGAAAACTAGGGATACCGATAAGCGATCGTCCTTTGTTACTAGTCAGACCATAGACCCTCTCGGAATAGTAATCTTGTATCTTGGTAGCGGAACAATTGCAACGTAATTGTGGCTCCAAGAAGTAAGAACGATAAATTACAGAATATTTAATTCTTGTATAAGATAATCCTTTAATAATATCATCTTTTTACGCGGGTATTCCTTTTTTCTTTTCTTTTTTTTTTTTAAACAGAAGCAGCTTTGAATTTTTCGAATGGCAAGAAAATCTAATTAAAAATTAGATTCTTGTCATAATTAGGATTGTAACGGATGAATTAACCAATAAAATAAGACTGAAAGTTATACCAAGATAGATGAAGTTACTTTTCACAGAATAATATTGGAGAACCACAAGGAATAGAGACGTCAATGTCGAAAGGTATAATTACGAAGGGGTTCTATAGAAGTTTCCTCACCTTGATCATAACTTTGAGGAGGTTGTACCGTTGGAACACGTTACGGACTTGTTTACTGTTCGCATACTTGCACATAAGCTCGACGAGAGCACGTTTAGCGGTGTCATAACTTCCTTCGAGACGTATCCTGACTATCCTCAGTCGTTCGTTCGTTTCGATGACCTCTTCCTTCGTTTGACCACCTGCGAGTGATAAGTTGGAAATTCGATAAACGATTGTCCACCTACCTTGTTCGCATGTGACTAAACTTCTCTTACTTTGAGTATTATCAAAGTTTTAAAATATTTAGTTTGTGGAATAATAGTTAGTTACACTTTCTCAACAAATTTTGTTTTATTTTTATACGATTTGTTCAAATGGTTGATATTTTCATTTAACTATTTCTAAGATTTTCAAAAATTTTCAATTGTCCTTTATCAAAATAAATCTTGACGCAATAATACAACTTCTCTCTGTTATAAATATTAACCCTTTGAGTGCTATGGACGCATATATTGTCACATTAATAATAAACTATTTCATTCGTAGAAAACACTTTAGTTAAAAGTATTCAGCATTCAAAGGGTTAATAAATCATATATATTTTTATTTTACAAAATAAATGAGATAGGAAATACATGTTCCAGTAATTATTTCCATCTTAAACTTTGTTCTGTTCGTTATTTAAATCCTAAACAAGTTGAAATTTATTATCGTTGTATATCTGTCACTATAAGTAACTATCGTAAAAGGTTTTAGGAAGAGAGTATAGTATTTTCCGGTTCGATACGGTAGGCTACGAACCCTTTAAATCGGTTCGAACGTAACTGCTTCGACGAAACCTAGTTTCGATTGATTCTCAATTAACTCGGCACCGAGATAGTAACGAAATTTGCCGACATAAATAAATCGGAACGCGTTACTAGATAGATATACAACGATAAGCACGACAGCTTGTCCTTTTATTCGTTACGTCGAATTTATCCAAGATTGACTGTTTCCTATCGGTTCCATGGCTTCCTCTCTACAATCTCATTTCGCCATTTTCGTTTGAACCTTTTTTAACCTTTACTTATATGCTCCAATAATTCCCATCATAATTAAAAAAAAGAGTATCTTCAAGCGAATACTAATTGGGATAAGTAATATAGAAACCCAAACAACCTTTAATAATTTCTAATCGAATCTATATGTATATTTCTAATAATTATTTCATTATAATATTATAATCTCTAGTGTTCTGTCGCAGTTTTACATTATAAACATTTATAAAGCACCATGTGTTTTAACCCGCGCATGTATTTACACTTAGGTTTTTAGCAAGTCTATATATATATATATATATCACGTATAATCCTTTTTACATTTAAAGATTCAATTTGAACAATTCGTTTTGAAAACTAACGTAACCTACACAGAGGAAATTCAATCTGAATTAATTATATCCAACGTTTGCGTGTTATCGAAAAATAAATCTTTTACGTGGAACACAAACTTACTCGTTATTGTCACGCGCATAGAGAATAATGAATCTTTGTTAACGTTAACGCGTTGAATTGGCATGCAAGGAAGGAACGTGTTAATTAGATAGTGTTAATCTAAGTTTAATAGAGCTAACGCGGCACGTAACATGTCGTTAGTCGAATCCTCCGTACTCCCTTTCAACCCCTTTCTCACACCCCATAAACGAATAGATAGGACAACGTCCAGCAGGAGTTCTATTCAAGAGAAACTAACAACCTGTCTGCATTGGCTAAGAGCCAAAGACTTATTTCAACCGATTACTCTTATAAAACGTCTTTGAGATTCATTGGCTTGGATTATTGCATCTCAACGCGTGTATTAAATAAAAGACTATTAGTTTTCTTCAAATTACTTACATGTTATTTCTTGAAATTTAATAGAAAATTAGCTTTTAATATTATAATCTATGTTATATCTTTGAATTTAATGATTAAAAGAAAGAAATATTACAAATGACTGTGTGTTCATTTGACTGGTTACTGTATAAATACGTATGAATAAACTGTTTGTAGATTTAACGTTGAATATAAAGGAATACGCGCGAATATATTTGTATTAGGTTATAAAATATATTATAAAAGTAAAGAATATCTATATACTCACTCGATGTTCCTTCATCCTTGACATCTTGAACGATCCTTCGTACACTTTGAGTAAATTTTCCCACGAGATTCGTTCCCGCTGAAATAGATTCGAAGAAGAAAAATAATCGTTTCGTTTTCAAAAGGTATTTGTATTATATATAATATGTACTTAACTGCTACGCCTATATATATATATATATATCTTTACTATAAAGTGAATCCTGTTTAAGCAGATAAACCAAAGGACGAGTTTAAAAGTTCAATTTTCTGTGACGATCACAGTGTGTACACATATATCTCTTGGGACCCTTTAATATTTTGCTTTTATCCTCCCTCGCGAGAATTTTCATGGATTAACAACGTATGGCAGCTCGACTGATGGCTAAAGAGGGTATGTACATAGATATTATATCTGCATAAATACGTATATGTGTCCTACGTGTGTGCGCGTGTGTGCATGTTTGTACTATCTAACTAAAAGATAAAATCAAACGAAATATTCTTTCGATTAATCTTTCATCGAATATTATTCGAAAGAAATAGAACCAAAAATATAAGATAGTAAAAGAAGAGAATTTTCTCTTTGTACGATCTTCTAATATTTTTTCTTTTGCTCTGGTGTTATCTCTCTCTCTCTCTCTCTCTCTCTCTCTCTCTCTCTCTCTCTCTCTCTCTCTTCCACTCTCTCACTATTTCCATCTTTTTTTCTATCCTTATCTCTCGTTTCTTTTGATATAGAGTAGAAAATCGGTGAGCTTAGATGGGACAGTAGTAGAAGTCGGGTAGTAGTCAGACACGATTACGTTTGGCTTCCAGCCAACGAAAAAAGGGAGGAGAAACTTATACCCATACTTTTTGAAAAAGTATCAAACACACACACAAACATACGCGTAGAATTTTAGACCATTTTATTGTCTTGATTTGTCAAAAGTCGTACGATGTCATTCAACATTTCGTATACGTTTCAGAAAACGCGCTAGTGAAATCCCTCACATTGAAATTCCCAACGTGTTTTCTTCTTTCTTTCATTCTAAAACACCCAACATATCTGACGACGAAGACGACAACGACAGCGATTACTCTTTTTTTCTTTTTTTTCTTCAGGTTTCGCTTTGGCAACCCGTGTACGTGCTCGAAATGAGGTTCTAAAACGGCACGTTTCTTAAATAAAACCGATTTTCAAGTGGCGGTAAAGCAACAAGCGACATTTCCTTGGGTTTTTTTTTTCTCAATCTCTTATTTTCTTTCTAAGTAACGTCTAACTTTTCTAATACTTCTTCTACTTTCTTTTCTTTTCTTTACTTTTCTATTACTTTTTTTCTACTACTTCTTCTTCTTCTTCTTCTTCTTTATACTTTCTTGTTACTTTCAACGTTTTAACGAAATTCGATAAATTTCGTATTCGTTTGTTCGCACGTTTTATTTTTTTGTTCTTTCTTTAGATAAATAATCGATAAACTTAATCTTCTTGAAATTGTACCTACCTTTTTCGATCTTCAATGTGTATATAGATATGTGAATTATCCTACGTATACTCAAGCGTACATCTTTTCTACTTGCAATGATCGGCTTACTTACAGTACGTTACGTCTGACTACATTCCTACGTATACTACTTAAAGCTGAAAACGAGTAATTCCTAAAAAGCACTTTTATGTACGTTTATTTTTTTTTTTTACGTCAGACTCTTACACTATTTCATTTTTAACGATTCAGAGGGATACCGGGTGAGAACAGTATTTTGATTTATGCTTGAGTAACCAAAAATTATTGGAGAAACGAAATATTAAATATAAAACATGCACTGTGAGGTATATTGAAGAACCTTTTTTTTTTTCTTCTTTTCATCATTTCGATAATTTCAATTGAACGATATGATACAATTTTATTCGCGTATCAAGATAAAATTGTGCAAAAAAAAAAGAAAATATGTATTATATCAAATATTGCTACACGGATAGGATAGTATGATATTATCGCTGGCGGGGTACAAAAGGAATAAAAGAGAGCCCAAAGTTGAAATTGAGTTAGGCAATATGAAGTGACTACAGGTTAGAACTACTTCGATTTCCGTGGGTTGGTTAAACTAGAGCATGGCGTCTGTAGTCAATGTAGAAAGAGAGGGAAAAGATATCGAGACTACGAGTAAATGAAATTTTACCTTCTACGAGAAAGAAGATTAACTTTGGAATGTGCAAGTTGAGAGAACCTAGATGTAAGTACAGCCGTGATACGAAAGAGAAACACAAAAGAAAAAAAAAGAAAAGTATAACTTCGATTAAAACTAATAATAACTTATTAAAAAGGTATAAAAAAAAAAAAATCAAAGATTAAAAAAGGAGGACGTATTATTGTGGACAAAATAATATAAAAGTAAATGCCACCCAATACTCAAAATCAGCATCGAACGCATATACTACTTTACTGGCACAAATACACTGACAATTTGAACGATAATTATATCGTCAAAAAGCCTGTATGATTTTATTTATTGAAAGTTGTCGCTAGATAAAGTTTTACATAAAAGAAAAAAAGAAAAAAAGGAAAATATAGGTAGAAAATCGTTTCGCTGAATGAACGTTCGTTCTCTTTTTCTATTTTTGATGGTAGAAAGTAGGGAAATCGTGGTCGATTGACGAACAGCTATAGGAATAGGGGATAGAATGGTTAAACCATGGAGCGGATTTTGCCACTCGGATCAAACGTATCGACCACAACTCTGTGGCTCTTGTAGGTTGTGTGTAAGCAGTAACAACGAGGGTGTGGCCAGCCTATACTATCCTGAGTTGAACCTCTCTAATTCTAACACCTGCGAATGCGTATTCGCGACTAAACCGATATATGCATGCGGGCGACACGTTCGCCAATTATTTTGCGGCTGAGTTTCTACCATTCATTCTCTCAAATGCCATATCAATCGTGAATTCTAAAAGGATGCAACATCCACGAGTTTTCATCTACGAAACATTGTGTTTTTTCTTTTTTTTTTTTTTATCGACTTACACGATCATCCTACGATATGGCTTTTACACAATTTTTCCTTTTTTCTTTATTTCTTGGTGTTCTTTTTTTTTTTTTTTATTTTACTCCTAATAGAAATTTCTTTCCAAACGAAAAGAACTTTCGTTCGAAATTCACTCGTATCCATTCCCTTTCATCCTTGTTCTTTCACACTCGAATCTTTTTACTCGACACGGTCCCAACATCCCTATTCGATTTGAAATATCTTCTTATTCTTTTTACGCTTCCTTTTCTCTTATATATATATTTTTCATTTTAAATTTATACAACGAGATTCTTTGATTCTCGTGCATTAAAAGACACGTGTACGCATAAAATGTTACAAAACATTGAAAAAATAATTTTTGATTAAACATACACATTGTAATTTCTTAAATGACTCGGATTATTTGAATTATCACGGTTCGCATAATTTGTCATTCGTGATAGATTTGAAAAATATGAATAATTCTCGAATATAATATACTTGTATTCGCTGAATGGATAATCGATAAACAAATAAATAAGTCATTTTAATGATCTCGCGCGTGCTAGCTGTCGATTGCATACGATCAATGACAAATACGGATTGGAATATTCGTGCTAAAGCTCGCAATTGTTTCATATGGTTTAATAGGTTTTTGGTCACGACACGACACGACCAATCACAATGGACTATTAAAAAAGGATTATGAAAACGATTGGAATTATATCAGGATAGGCAGCTTATGTTCTCGGTACAATGAAACATTGTATCAGGATGTTTCAAAGTAAAATAATAAATGCAACAATGTCATTTATACCAAGGACAAAATAACGCGTTTAAAAAAGACATTTTAATTTGTTTCCAATATTGTCGATTCGAACAAAAGATTCAAATGATTCGAAATTTTTCAAGATAAAATCTAATATGAAATTTAGCTTATTAATTATTATTATGAGATACCAGTTCGTCTTTCTATTTGCATATTTTGTATTGGTCTATGAACAATATAGACAACTCGAAGTTAAGTTAAGAGAAGTTACCCTTTTGGAAATCTTGGTGGTCGCAGCTGGTACAACGACGAGCTTTGTTTCATCAAGTCTGCAAGAGTTAAAGTGGAAACAAAAGGTTTTGGTTGCTCTCTTACTACTCTATTTCTATCTTTTTTGTTCGATGCTTTTAAAGGATATTCTCGAAAAGCTGAAGAAGAATAAGAATAAGAAGAATAAGAAGAGATGCCTATGCAAATGCAAACGTTTCTTTGGAGAATTTCAAAGCGAATTTACGAATCTATTATACTATAATACTATTCGCGATAACCATAGTTGGAAAAGTGAGAAATTCTTTCCTATTATATGCGTTACCATCGTTAAACTTATTGTTTTATGATCCCGAAAATGAATTATTGTTCGCGATCGATATATATACTTGAATATTTTCTAACAAACTTATGTGTGATGGATTGTTCGAATGAAAATTATTTTAAATATTAATATTAACATGTTCTCTGAATAAAAATGAAACGAATCAAAAAAAACTGATATTATTTATAATGAAATATTTGTTAAAGTAGAAATATTGTAATACGAAATAAGTGTGACGAAGCAACGGCGTGTCTATCTCGTTTGTAAATCCGATTTTAATTACGAGAAGAGACAGATTCTTGATTTCCGACTACGACGACGTATTGTAAAAAGAAGAAGAATAATAATAATAGAAGTCTCTTTGTACCAGAGTAATGGATAGAAGGAAAAGATAACTCAAAAGGACTCCTTCTTCTTCTTTTTCTTCTTCTTTCACCACCCTTACAACCATAGACAATTATTATATTATTTTGTTCGGCTTTGGTATTGGTAGATTTTCTTATTTCACTTATCATTGAAGTAAATCGTAAAGCAATGCAAATTTTCTAGTAATGCTTTACTGGTACGAGCAACGGATACCTTTCCCCTTTTCAATTATAACGTCGTCCTTTTCGATGTTCATTTATACATCTCAATTATTTTTCTTTTTATTGGTAACACTGTTTACTCCATTTACGTGGAATAAAAGAAAATGAAAACAGGGCCAACGTGACACCGAATGATTATCGTAGTTAAGTTCTTATTGAAGTTG